GAGCGCGACACATAAGAAAGTGACTTCTCAAATAATATTATAGAGATATAATTACTAGACTTTAACCCGCGCAACCGTGCGGATGTTTGTTTTCGTTTATAGTTAGTTATATAAATATTTTGTTTTCACTTGTAAAATGGTATATATTATAGTAATCACAAATTTATGATATGTATAGTAAATTTTAGTCAAACACAATAATATTATATAATAAGTGATTTAATCAAATAGATTGTTTCAAATTTTTTATATTATACATGTTTGAATGTTTTTCAAACATGTATTTGTTTCTTATTCTATATTTTATTGTTTGTTAGATTAGTATTTCATTTTTAGATTAAGTAATATAAATAGAGCTTGATTAAATATTAGTACACTTTAATTTGCGAAGATAATATAAACTTCGAAGAAATTTTTGTTAAAAACTAAACTTATACCTTCATAAACTAATATTATAAAAAAAATTATTAAAAATGAACTTTTAAAAAAAAAAAAATTTAAAACAATATAATTTTAAAAATTTACATCAAAATAAATTTATCTAATATATATAGCGTGTAAATTTTGTTAGGGTATATAAATATTCCATATTACTCTGTGATTTTTGTTAAAATATTACGGATGCATTTAACTATTATTGACATATTTCGTTATAAATAATAGAAGATTCCTAAACTTATATCTATTGGCATATTTTGCGTGACTAAGTTGGAAGGTGTGGGATAATTTACCAAAACCAAATTGTTAAGCGTATCTTTGTTATTATAGATATGATTTTTACAAGATATAATAATGATAAGATTATTAGAGAGTTAATGTAACATAACTTTCTAGTAATAATCTATTTTTAAAAAAATCACACATAAAATAAGTCATGTCTTCTGTTTTAATATATAAGACTAGATTTTGACCCGTGCTTGAAAGCGCGGAAAATTTTTATTGTTATAAATTTATATAATTGAATTTTATCTTAATTTCAAAAATGTTTTGATGTAAAATCAGTTCACCAAAAATTGTGGTGATAATTGTTTTTCATTAGTTTTTAGTTTAAGTTTAAGTTTTATTTTTAGATTTTGTTTTAGATTTTGGTTTTTGATTTTTAGTTTTTAAGTTTCTATTTTTGATTTTCAGCTTTTGGTTTGGTTTTTAATTTTTATACCCGCTGAGTTAGTTGGAACTGATATTACCAACAAACAAATCCCAAATAATCAAACATCTAATTTAAAACTGAAATGATGACAAAAAAATTGCAATAGTTTATTTTGTAAATAAACAAAAGCAAAAAATATAACCTGCGCTTTCAGCTTTTAATTTTAGATTTTAATTTTTAGATTTGAATTTTGGTTTTCCTTTACATTTTTTTAAAAAAAAAATCAGTAAATTATTTAAGAAAAATAAAACAATAAATTATTTAAAATTTACCATTAAAATTTATCAAAACAAAGTGATTTTTATTGAAAATAAAAAAATACATTAAGATGTTTTAAAGTACATGATTTAAATAAATGATTAATAATACACAATTTTTTTTAGTTAAAATATTAAATACCTTTTGGGCCTGAAAAGAATAATTGATTTTTTGGAGTTTTCCCTTAATACTAAGTCCAAAAACCAAACCATATAATTTGTTCTAAAAACAAAAGTAAGCCTAAGACTATATCCCATAAATAACCACCGGTTTAATTTAAATAATGTGGTTCAATTAACTATATAGCTTGTATTATTTGTAACACTCTAGAATGGTCCAAATTTAAATGACAACTAGATTTTGACCCGCACAACCGCGCGGGTGTTTGTTTTCGTTTATAGTTATTTATATAAATATTTTTTTCACTTATAAATTGGTATATATTATAGTAATCACATAATGTATTTACGATATGTATAGTAAATGTTTTTCAAACATAATAATATTATATAATAAGTGTTTTAATCAAATAGATTGTTTCAAATTTTCTATATTATACATATTTTTCAAACATGTATTTGTTTCTTCTTCTATATTTTATTTTTTGTTAGATTAGTATTTCATTTTTTAGATAAATTAATATAAATAGAGCTTGATTAAATATTAGTATATTTTAATTTTCAAAGATAATATAAATTTCGAAGCAATTTTTGCTAAAGACTAAACTTATAGCTTCATAAATTAATATTATAAAGAATTTTATTAAAAAGGAATTTTTTAAACAATTTCTTTTTTTTAAACAATATAATTTTAAAAATTTACATCGAAATAAATTTATCTAATATATATAGCGTGTAAATTTTGTTAGGGTATATAAATATTCCATATTACTAATCTGTGATTTTTGTTAATATATTGTGGATGCATTTAACTATTATTGACATATTTCCTTATAAATAATAGAAGATTCCTANTATAGCGTGTAAATTTTGTTAGGGTATATAAATATTCCATATTACTAATCTGTGATTTTTGTTAATATATTGTGGATGCATTTAACTATTATTGACATATTTCCTTATAAATAATAGAAGATTCCTAAACTTATATCTATTGACATATTTTGCGTGACTAAGTTGGAAGGTGTAAGGTAATTTACCAAATCCAAATCGTTAAGCGTATCTTTGTTATTATAGATATGGTTTTTCATAAGATATAATAATGATAAGATTATTAGAGAGTTAATGTAACATAACTTTCTAGTAATAGTCCATTTTTAAAAAAATCACACATGAAGTCAAGTCATGACTTCTGTTTTAATATATAAGACTAGATTTTGACCCGCGCTTGAAAGCGCGGAAATTTTTATATAATTAGTTTAAAGAATATTTTGATATAAAATCAGTTTACCAAAATTTATGGTGATGATTATTTTTCATTAGTTTTTAGTTTCAATTTTTATTTTTAGATTTTGGTTTTTGGTTTTTAGTTTTTAAGTTTCTACTTTTCATTTTCAGTTTTTGGTTTGGGTTAGTTTGAACTAATATTACCAACAAACAAATCTCAAATAATCGAACATCTAATTCAAAACTGAAAAGATGACAACAATTTTTTTAAAAATAAATTGAAATAGTTTATTTTGTAAATAAACAAAGCTAAAAATATAACATGTGTTTTCAGCTTTTGGTTTTGGATTTTAGTTTTTAGATTTGGGTTTGCTTTACATTTTTTACTCAGTAAATTATTTAAGAAAAATAAAACAATAAATTATTTAAAAGTTATCATTGAAATTTATCAAAACAAAGTGATTGTTATTTAAAATAAAAAAATATATTAACATGTTTTAAAGTACATGATTTAAATAAATGATTAATAATAGATAATTTTGTTTTGTTACAAATATTAAATACCTTTTGGGTCTGAAAATAATAATTGATTTTTTTATCTTTTAAGGTGAAAAATTTACTCAATGTTTTTAGAGTTTTTTTCTTAATACTAAGCCCAAAAACCAAACTATATAATTTTTTCAAAAAATAAAAGTAAGCTCAAAACTATATTCCATAAATAACCACTGGTTTAATTTAAGTATAATTACTATATTTCCATATTCCATATTTTGATGATATATATTCTTTTAGAACATTCCATATTTGTAGGAGAAAATATGTGTTTTCGGTATACACATAGATACCTGTCATATTTTGAAGGTAATTTACATTAAAGTCGTCTCTTTACATTAATTGTGTTGGTTTAATTTAAGTAATGCGGTTCAATCAATTATATGACATATTATTTGTAACATCTTAGAAAGAGTCCAAATTTAAATGACAACTTGTATCAGTAGATAAAAAGAATGACTCTATTTTAATAGAGTAGACTAAATTTTGACCCGCGCAACCGCGCGGTGTTTGTTTTCGTTTATAAGTAATTATATAAACATTTTGTTTTCACTTGGTATATATTATAGTAATCACATATTTACGATGTGTATAGTAAATGTTTTTCAAACATAATAATATTATATAATACGTGTTTTAATCAAATCAAATTGTTTCAAATTTCTATATTATACCTGTTTTTCAAACATGTGTTTGTTTTTTCTTCTATATTTTATTGTTTATTAGATTAGTATTCCATTTTTTAATAAAGTAATATAAATAGAGCTTGATTAAATATTAGTATACTTTAATTTGCAAAGATAATATAAACTTCGAAGAAATTTTCGCTAAAAACTAAACTTATAGCTTCATAAATTAATATTATAAAGAATTTAATTAAAAAAAAGATTTTTTTAAACATTTTTTTTAAAAACAATATAATTTTAAAAATTTACATCGAAATAAATTTATCTAATATATAGCGTGTAAATTTTGTTAGGGTGTATAAATATTTCATATTACGAATCCGTGATTTTTGTTAATATATTGTGGCTGCATTTAACTGTTATTGACATATTTCCTTATAAATAATAGTAAAATTTATATCTATTGACATATTTTGCGTGATTAAATTGCAAGGTGTGGGGTAACTTAACCAAACCAAATTGTTAAGCATATCTTTGTTATTATAGATATAAATTTTTCATAAGATATAATAATAATAAGATTATTAGAGAGTTAATGTAACATGACTTTCTAGCAATAGTCCATTTTTTAAAAAAATCACACATGAAATCAAGTCATGACTTCTGTTTTAATATATAAGATTTATATTAGTAGATAAAAAGAATGACTCTATTTTAATAGAGTAGATATATTTGGATATATGCTTCTAACATATATTTGCTTCCTAATTTTATAATTAAATCTCACTTCTAAAATAGTATTTGGCAGTTCGATTACAGATGGCCTTAGAAGCCGTGATCATATAGTAATTATTAGAGACTAAGTCTCTAGTCTCTAATAGTAATAACAAAGACAGCAACGTGAAGCACTTAAGCCACGAACAAACGATAAGAGAAGACAACTGTCTAGATAAGAACACCACAGAAAATTAGCTTCCTCCTCCACGGTCCCTACGCTCTCCACGACAGCATTTATTACCACTACCTCTACCAAAAGGAGAAGAGGACATCTCTTAGACTTTTTATAAGGTTTGACAAGGCCATCTCTCAGAAATCTTTTTTTCCAGAAACTGCCAAAGGATCTTCAGCAGGAATTGATTCATCCTCTTCTGAATCATCAACATAGAAACACATCTTATCAACATAGATTCTAAAGCAGCAAAAGAATTATACTTCCAAAGGTATCCACTAATTTCTTCATCATCAAGTAGGTACGTCTTTTAAAGAAGAGGCAGCGTCGGTCTTGTTGACTCCATGGAGTAATTTGCTGGGGAGGATAACCTCAGAAATGTGTGAAATTTTTAACTCTGGAAACAGTGATGATGGTACATACTAATACTTGATTATAATTGTTATTATGCTAATAATTTGATTATAATTAATTGGTAACTGAATCCATGATTTAAGTATCTTCAGAAAATAGGTAAGTGTAGGTCTGATGGCTTTTTTTTTTTTGCTAAATGTAGGTCTGATGCCTGTATCATCCATTGTCCGACTCTAAAATTTGTGGCATGACGTCATCCAAAAGCAGCAGGGTCTTGTCTCCACGCGTGCCACGGCAGATTTCGACGTGTCATTCAAGGGTATTCTAGTAAAAACGAGGACCAAACATGCCAAGTAGTAACGTTTCGTTTATGCATTAATACACTCGTAATAACCTTTATAATCCCTCGCCTCCTCCATGCGGCGTTTTCTGTTTGTCGTTTCCTGCTTTGGGTTATACGCTTTGGTGGCCGCTACATACGCATGGCTAGCGTTTCCGCCGCATATAGGACGCACGGATCATGTGTCGTCTTCTTCGCTAGGTTGCAGAGAGGACAACGAGGGTTCATGGTCCATTGGCGTATACTATGGTGACTCTCCCTTCACTCTCAAACCTATCGAAACCGTGAGTCTCCGGATCTACTCATGTTTATTATCACTAGATTTCGTGCAGTTTGATTAGAATGCAAATCGTTTGCTAATTAGGGTTCATGAGTTTTGAATCAACAATATATATTATTAACCACATTGTGTTTTGGTGATTTTGGAAACAGATGAATGTATGGAGGAACGAGAGTGCAGCATGGCCTGTGGCTAATCCTGTTTTAACATGTGCCTCCTTGACCAACTCTGGTTTTCCCAGCAACTTTGTAGTTGATCCGTTTCTCTATGTTCAGGTATACACAATCTAGTCCTTTTTATAGATATTGCACTATCTTTAATTGGCTTATTTTTCTCATGACCGGGCATGATATTTTTGAGTTTTAAAACAGTTATTGTATGATTAATACATATATCTTTTAATCAATTATTAGCCAAGCGAATGTTTTATCTCATTATGGCCAAGACTGGCCTTGATCTCTGTGTTATTAAACATGGATACAATCTCTATTTGAAGTGTTTTGAGTCTCTGATTTTGCATTTTTGATCAACCTTGTCATTCTTATTTTTATGAAACAGGGTGATACTCTTTACATGTTCTTTGAAAATAAAAACCCCATTACAATGCAAGGGGACATAGGAGTTGCAGAAAGTACTGACAAAGGAGCAACTTGGAAACCTCTTGGTATAGCTTTGGATGAGCCTTGGCACTTATCTTTCCCATTCGTCTTCAATTACAATGGACAAGTACGTAAGAGATCAAAGTTCCATGATACACACACACTGATGATAAACATACTTATATTTTTGTTTTATATTTCTTAAAGATATACATGATGCCAGAGAGTAACGAGTTAGGACAGCTTCGTCTCTACCGTGCTGTTAACTTCCCTTTAATTTGGAACCTGGAGAAAGTCATCTTGCAAAAGCCCCTTGTTGATACCACCATAATCCATCACCAAGGAAGCTACTGGCTATTTGGATCAGATCATACTAGCATCTTTGGGACCAAGAAGAATGGACATTTACAAATTTGGTACAGTACCACTCCTCTTGGCCCATGGAAACCACACAAGAAGAATCCTGTCCACAACGGGGCAAGAAACGGAGGCAGAGCATTTTCATATAACGGTAATCTCTACCGTGTTGGTCAAGCTTCCGGTGATAGTTATGAGAAAAAGATACGCATATTCAAGATAGATGTTCTTTCTAAGGAAGAGTATAGAGAAGTCCAAGTCCCCTTCGATTTAGAAACGTCCCATAAAGGTCAAAATTCTTGGAACGGAGTTAGGCAGCATCATTTAGATGTAATACAGCTAAGCTCTGGTGAATACATTGGTCTTGTTGATGGTGATCGTGTAACATCAGGTGATTTGTTTCTTAGGGTTTCTCTCGGATATGCCTCTCTTGTATCTGCTATTACAGTTGTTGTGTTGCTAGGGTTTTTGCTTGGGATCTTGAACTGCATTGTTCCATCAACCTGGTGTGTTAACTACTACGCTGGAAAAAGAACCGATGCGGTCTTGAATCTGAAGACCACAAGTTTCGTGTCTGAACAGTTAAGACGGATGTGTTCTAGGTTAAACCGAGTACCGCCTTTTCTGAGAGGGCTCGTGAAACCTAATTCCAAGTTTGGAAGATTAGCACTCGTTTTGATATTACTTGTAGGAGCTTTGCTTACATGTGTTGGCATCAGATACATACACGGTGGAAGCGGAGTTGTAATGGCTTATCCTTTCAAAGATCATGTATCTCAGTTCACGTTAGCTACTATGACGTACGACGCACGTCTCTGGAACCTTAAAATGTACGTGAAGCATTACTCTCGATGCCCTTCAGTGAAAGAGATTCTTGTCATATGGAACAAAGGACCACCTCCTGAACTCAACGAACTAGACTCGGCCGTGCCGGTCAGAATCCGAGTCGAGAAGAAGAACTCTCTAAACAACAGGTTCAATATCGACCCGTTGATTAAAACACGAGCCGTTCTTGAGCTTGACGACGATATAATGATGTCTTGTGACACCATCGAGAAAGGGTTTAGGGTTTGGAGGGAACATCCTGAGAGACTTGTCGGATACTACCCGCGTTTTGTTGATGAAACAATGAGTTATAGTGCTGAGAAGTTTGCGAGGAGTCATAAGGGATACAATATGATTCTCACGGGAGCAGCGTTTATGGACGTTGGTTTCGCGTTTGGTTTGTATCAGTCGGAGAAGGCGAGACTTGGTCGAGAGTTTGTGGACGAGCAGTTTAACTGTGAAGATGTTTTGTTGAATTTTTTGTATGCTAATGTGAGTGGTTTGGGAAAGGCTGTGGAGTATGTGAGACCGTCTTTGGCTATTGACACTTCGAAATTTTCTGGTGTAGCGATTAGTGGAAACACGAATCAGCATTACATGAAGAGGAGTAAGTGTCTCCGGAGATTCTCTGACTTGTATGGGAGTTTGTCTGATCGGAGATGGGAGTTTGGTGGAAGAAAAGATGGGTGGGATTTGTAGGGAAAAAAAAAGAGTTGTTATTATTACAAGGTCTCAAGTTAGAAGTTTTTCAAATATAAAGTTATAGCCCGAAATATTATTTCGACCGAGCCACCACCGGTCAGTCATTGCTCCAAACAGTCGGCTTATGATCGATTACTTGGCACGCAGGCTTAGATTCTTTACTTCTTTGCAGCACTAAACATGTTCTGGCAACAAACACTACTCTCTCAACTTTTAGTTCTCTTGGTTCAATTCTTATCTACTTTATCCGTAAATATAAATATATTCTTAAGAATGTGTCTGTTCTATAATTTTATTTTTAAAATATTATTTTACTTGCATATATTAAAAGAGAAAATGAGTAGAATAGACCTAAAAAGTTTTTATCACAAATATAGACCTTAACAATTAAAATGACCAAAATAGTAATTAAATATTTTATTAAATATATATTTATACCTTTTGGGTTAACTAATTCTAGATTTTTTTGTTTAGAGTTGAGAAGTGGGGTTTTGGGGATAGGGTTTCGAATTTAAAAAATTAAGAAAACTTAAAATTTTCAAAATAAAAAATGTTATTTTGGTCATTTTAATTTTTGAAGTCTATTTTTGTGATAAAAACTTAAAAGAGGATTATTTTAGAGAACTACCCTATATTAAATTTATATTTAAATACATATGGTTTAGTTAAAGTTTTAGTATATAGTAATAAAATATGGAATTTATAACGTGTCGCTTTAGCAAATTCATCTAACTTTTTGATTAAATTTAAGTAACATCATAGGAAAAGAATATTAGATTCGGATTGGGTCAAAAGAAATTTAATTGAAAATAATTAAAAAGTAAAGATTGTGCCCTACAGTTCGGATTGACATGATGAATATTTTCAATTTACTCATCTTTAAGGGTCTGACTGGTTCTCCTGCCATCACCCGCAAACGCAGCTTTTGCGGTTGATAGCGGTTGTTGGCATTTTGCAACAATCACAGAAAATGCTATAAACCGCTTCAAATCGCTCTGAATCTCTAAAATTCAAAAGCTGGTTCCAGTTAGCGCTTGCGGTTGTAGACGATTGCGGGAGGATGAAAAATATTTTTTTTTCCAAAAAACTATATAAATATAGAAAAGAAAATATTTAATTAAAATAATTGAAATACTGAAATATTTATATTATAAAATTTCCAAAAAAAAAATATTTTCTTTAACTTTTAAAAATTTAATAGTAAATTTTTTTCCATAAAAATTTTATATTTATCATGAAAATATGAATTTAATATTTTGATAATTATATAAAATATAAATATTGTTAATTTATTATGTTGTATCTGATGATAAACCAGTCATAAGTATCCCGCAAACGCAACAATTTTTAACCTTGAACCAGTCATACAAATCTCTTACTAACGCTTAAAACTCAATCTCCCACATCTACAAACGTCCACAACCACAACCGCAATCGTTGCGTTGTAATCAGTCAGCCTTTAACCGGTATTAATGACAACTGACAAGGCAATTTTTTAAAATACTTTTATCACTAAAACCCAGTTTTATCATGTATTAAACTATGACAAAATTTGCTTACCAAATAAATAAATAAGAAACTGTGGTACGTATCAAGAAATTTATATCGTTGCTCAAGGAGGGAGGGACTAAAGCAAGAATGGCATTAAAAGATTTTCCTTATATGTAAATGCTTATAGATGGACCCGTAACGTCACAGCTATATAAATTGCAACGTTAACTAGTACTTAGAGAAGATTTTATTTCAAAAAAAAAATTAGAGACGATTTCATACCAAAGTAGCCAGTTAACCAAAATTATAATTAAGCTACTAGTAACATTTAATAAATGGACCCATAACTCTATATAATCAATTTTTAATCCACTTGTATTCAACTTAGATGGCCAGTACAATCATATGAGAATTTAGTAAATTATTTTCAGAAATCACGAATCTATTATTTGTAAAGCGATTTAAAATTGCAAGACCTATTATTAGTAATATGTAATATACAGTATAACCTCTTTAAATTAATAATCTATAAATTAATATCTCTATAAATTAATATAATTTCATAGCCCCAAATTGAATTTTGGTTCAACTAATATCTCGATAAATTAATAATTTCTATAAATTAATAAAATTTGTAGTTTTGGTGTAGTCCCAACATTATTAATTTATAGAGGTTTCACTGTATATTGTATTTGTTAAACATTTTTTTATCAAAAAGTAATAATGTAACATTCTCTTCTAAATTCATTTTTAGTATAAGAGCAACCATACGATTGTCTCCCATCTTTCTCTTAATCTTGTAGACTCATAGGACCACAATTGTCTATTGTCATGTCCAGTCTTTGAAGTTTGAACAACAACAAAAATGTAAAGGCTCCCCTTTCTAACAATAAGACTGAATGCATTCAAAGGTAATGTCAGAGAGTTTCACATATCAATCTATATATGTGTAAATAAATATACAAGACAATGAACACATGAAATTTATTGCTCGCTCTTACTCATAAATGGGTAAACCACAACAATGCAAATCTGTCAAAAAGTAAATGCAAACAACTATAAATATACAAATCTTTTCGACACTGTTCAAAAAATCTACCTCTACACCAATTATTGGTCACTAGCTAGTCAAATTTCCAATGAATTCATCAAAATCAAATAAAAATAATCAGAAGACATAATAATAACTGCGAGTATACTTGTCAAATATTACTTTTATTTTAAATTCAAAATGGGGGAAAAGAGTAGAAAAATAGTCGACTAGAGCAACTTGTCGGTCTAAACATTACAAATAATACAAACTTCAAAATGCAATATCATAGAATATAATATTGGAAAATATATATTTTCTCCTTGCTTACTTGTTATGGATCAAACACGAATAAAGCTCATGGTATCGTCATTGATCCAATCATACTTCTCAACGAACGGGTTAGGGATCTTGGAAAGTTCTGGATATCGATCCATCGAATCTTCCCAAACATTCTTATTATCAAGATTTTTAAGAACCTCCCAAACACAGTTGTTACACTCGAATCCAGCTCCCATACTCATCATTATTATCTTGTCACCTTTCTTTAACCTCTTCTTAGCCTCCATGTAACCAAGAACATACCATAAACCACCAGACGAGGTATTACCGAACCTATGAAGCGCCATTCTCGATGGCTCTATGTCGAACTCCGTGAGACCTAAGCTTGTTCCCACCCCTTCGATAATAGCTCTTCCTCCAGGGTGTATACAGAAATGTTGCAACCCTGTCTTCAGGTCTAGACCTATCCCCGAGGTTGTAGACTCTCGTTTTGTGGTGGTTCTTCGTTTAAGTGCACGTACAATCGCGTACCGGATCAGTTCCTTGACGGGCAAGACTCTTGGCAGGAGAACTTGGAGGTTCTTGGTTAGGGCACGAGCAGCTGCTTTTTTAAGATACTTGGTTAGGAGGAAGCCTGGGTGACCATCTTTGTCCTCCATCTGCATGCAGCACGAGTAAGCCTCGTCTTCAGCTCCCACGTGTGCACGTGCCACAGTCACTAGCTTCATCATAGCCCTATTCTTGAACCTAGCTGCGTTGGTTAACAGCACAGAGCTTCCTCCAGCTCGGAATAAACAGTTTGATAACATCATCGACCTATCTTTACCGCAATACCAGTGAGGACCCATCGTCTCGGTGCTAACCACTAACGCAAACGCGTTTTCCCGCGTTTCGAAGATGCGTTGCACTATATCTATCGATATAACGCTCGCGCTACACCCTAGCCCGGAGAGGTTAAAGGACTTGATGTCTTCTCTCATCTTGTATCTATTGATGACACGTGAGGTCAGAGAAGGAGATGGAGCGAAGAGAGAGACGTTGACGACGAGAATGTCGATGTCTGAAGGAGAGACAAAGCCTTTTGTCTTGTGGAAAAGTTTATCTAGGGTTTCGAACATGATCTCGTCCATCTCGGAGTAAGCGTCAAGGAGTGTTGGTGAGGCTTCTCTACCTTGGAGGACGTTTATTGGGCCGTAGGTTTCTTCTCCGATCCCTGAGCTAGCCATTGTACGGAGAAGGAACCTGTACTCTTCGAGGCCCAAGTGCTTGTTTCGTTCAACGACCTTGGCACATGTCTCGGTGTCGAGTTTTCTCTCGTCTTTGCCCTTGAAGCACTCGTAGTGAAGCATGTAACAGTTTCTTTGGTTTCTTTTGTTGAGAAACTTGATGATGTAGAAGACGAAGAGAGTGGAGAGAAGGAGTAGAGAAGGGATTGAGAAGAGCTCCATGGAAGAGAGGAAGAGAGAGACAGAGAGTAGTGTGTGTGTAGTGTTTTTTCTTCTTCTTTGGTTTTCAAGTTGTGTCAAAGTTCGCAGGAAGTGTACGGATTTTATAGAGTTGATTGACATAGTGAGCTTTTGTCTTAAATCACCTTGGTCATGGAACTATAACTCCTCCACCAACTACTTTCTTATTTAATGATTAGTTAAAATAAAATTAAGTTTCAAGGATTTATCTTTTAGATATTTTTATGGTAGATGAGTTTCAATGATTTATTTATTTTTGGTTTTCATGAAACATAAATATAAGTTACTACTTTCTAATAAAAATACATTCTTCTAAGAACAAAAAATCTGCAGTTTATATACCAAAATAAGTTATTATAATAAGTTCATTGCGTGTGTGTGCGTTCAAGGCATCTATTTCACACATATGTAATATCTTCTTAACATCTGTTAAATTCGGGTTTACTATAGACTTCCAACTTAAAACCAATTGGTGATAAGTGGATTATCTCTAACCCTTTATATATTACTTAAGGTCACTTTGATTTCCCGATGTAGGATATATTATCCCTAATAGCCCTCCTCGAGATGATGACTCTTATCGACCAGAAATCTCGAAATTTTAAGACATTTATACTCGGTCGAACGAGTCAAATACGGCAATTATACCTAGTCGGAAGGTTAAACACGACCTATATACCCGGTCGGAAAGGTAATTAATCAACTAGGAGTTTAGGGCTTTTTTTAGGATTTGGACTTTGATACCATATTAAATTCAGATTTGTTATAGATTCCCAACTTAAAACCAACATCCAAAGGAGGGATATCATTTAAAAATAAATATTTATTGTTTCACCATTCAAAACATTAACAATGATCAACAATACTAATGGAAGCACAATAAACGAATTTGAACCGGTCTCCCAATCTCATTGTTGGTTGATGGTATATAAGCAACTAAGCATAAACAATCATTGTGAAAATGATGACATGCGTATCATCAAACATTCGAATGTGATGTTTGTGTCGTCTTAACCACTACCATAAGTTAATTTGGCGACGATGATATATAATAACTCCCGTCTGGTCATCTATTTAAATTAAAAATATAAGAGAACTCATAATCGTTGCGACAACCCAACCAACATAATAACTATGTTTGGTGACAAAAAATTAAAAGTCACATATGTACTACGTTGGGTTGGAGACTGAAATTCAACAAAGAATTAAATAATTACTCGAGGTTTTAGAAGTTGAAACATTAAATCTCCATGCTTAATTGTCTAGTGATAAATGGGTAAAAAAGCAAGTAGGTACATGGTAGAAAGCATTCATCCGTCAGCGAGTCCAGTGAGTCCCATACCACATGCATGTCCACGATGATCTGATGCTTTGATTTTTGAATGGTCATTATTGTATGTTCCATATATCAGCCTTTACGTAGTGAAGCTGTTCTCTCAAACTTGGATACTATACAATAGACAGACTAGACTATATACCCAACCTTATTAATCCTATCAATCAAATTAGGTATATCCACGAATTTATTTCGATTACTTGTGATGATGTATACTAACTACCGAGTAGTATGCCTCATTACCCTTTTATAGATTAGTCTTCAACTCTAGATTGTGACGAGTTTTGTCATCCATATATCATAATATTTGTGATGTAAATCTGTGACAAAAAAAATTGCAAAATAGGGTCCAAGCCCTTGTGTTGAAACTACGTACGTAACCAAAGACTATACAAACGTGCCGAAAAAAAAAACAAATTGAAAAGGAGTATACAACGTGTTGAAACAAACAAACAAAGACTCTTGTCATATTCTATGCGATGTTGCCGCAAATTGACACATCTCACATAAATACGATATTTAATGCATCGATCACTCCTTGCGTCCAAGTTCCAACCATCTTTTACTTTTTTTACTTTCTTGAAATCGATTGATAACCACTAGCGTTTGAATAAGAAGTGGGTTTTGGGTTAATGTTCACAGGATGTTGGATGACCCCATTTTCTGGCACACGACAACGTGATCACGTGACACAGGGCCTTGTCGTGGTCCGTGTCCACAACCCCACACATTCCAAGTAGTTAATGTGTTCACACTAAACTATATAGTAAAACCAACCGTGAAAACATTTAAAAAAAATCCAAATATCCACACAAAAAGGGTGTTGAATCAAACATATACTTATGCTTTGAATCCTATCAACCAACCAAACACAAGAATCAGATAATCTAAACTTTCTCAATGAAGCTACACATGATCGCATTGCTATACAAGAAGTTAGTTCCCGAGATGTGCCACCCACATTCCAAAACACTGGCGGGTTTCTTATTGATCCTCTTTGCTGTTGCTATGCTTTTACTCTGTCAAAAAACCTACACACAAGTCGTTGATTTAGAGTCAATCTAGTGAGACGTGTAGAACACTCTCATTCAGCTGTGAAGTAGCTGTCGTAGATAGAGAGTTTATCAAACGCCTCGAAGTTGGCTTTCAACCCAACAAATTGGCTCCCGGTCTGAGCACAACAACCCGCATCAGGCCATCGACATGTTCCTTCTCTTGCACGCAACGGACACAACATTGCTTCACAAACTTTTTCTTCACTTGCTGATGAGATGGAGTCTGAGACATCAGTTTGTTTTTGGGGAATTGAATGAGAACATCTCTGTGGCCCGTCTTCTACTTCAACTGTGCAATCTCCGTTCCTTGTGAAGTTCACCTTGCAGCCAAGTGATTGCACGGCTCTCGATATGACACCGCGCTCTCTGATAGCTCTCTTTGCTGATTCTTTAGCTGCACGACTTATATTTCTTTCTTTCCGCAACTCCTCGTTCAGTGACTCCACTGTAGAGGATAAAGCATCTACCTTTCTTTCTGCTTCTTCTTTCCCCTGTTCCAATTTTTCCAACACAAGAAGCAATCGAAACCCAAGTAAGTTAGCTGACCATACAGGCGGATATAAACTTTGTAGCAAGCAAGGCGAATGCGTTACCTTTTTCATCTCTAAATGCTTAACAGTCATGGCTCTACATTGGACCTCGGTTTCTGCAGCATCCGGTTCCACAGGGCACGCCCACCGAAGATGGAACTGAGGCCAGAGAGTTGGGGCTAGAGCTGCAGCAGGAGGTAACAATGGGCCATTATATCTTGAAGGATCATAAAGTGGGTTGCGATGTGCATGGGAAGTTCCACCCAAGGAACGCAAATCAGTCAAGTAAGCCCATAGGCATCCACTAGCATCAGAAATCCCACATTCCTGCCTCTCCTTTTCACTGTTAATCATCAAGAAATAGCCAAAATATATACCAAACTAGTCATATACTGTTCAACCACAGAATTTTCATATGATGAACTTCTAACTTTACAATTAAACTACCAAGAAAATCTCGAATAGGTTACCTATTGCACAAGAAGTTCCCAAAACGACATGAAAGCAAGCAGTCCGTGAAATCTACCAGGAAAGTCTGAAAAAAAATATTGAAAGGGCAGAGAATAGCGTTAGCAGAAAAGTTCACCATGAAACTTTCAGACATCTTTAAGTAGTCTGTCTACATACCGGAGAAAACTCGAAAGCACAAGGATACATCCGCATTAGCTGTGAAACGCAATCAACCCACTGCAGGCATACTCAACTAATGTTAGTAGATCTGCGACACCAAAAAAGAATATATAAATGCAAGCAAGAGCTGCATACCTGTAAAAATATAGGAGAATAATTGTTCAGACCATGTGAAGAGCCAGGCGATTGAGTAGCTGCTGATCCTGAAGTTTGCCGCACTGGAGATGAAGGGAAACTACTAGCAGAAGAAGACTGAATTGGCAATTCAAAACTACCAGATCCAGAAACGTTAGGCATTCCTATACGATCTGAAAATGGATGACCGAATGCTAACCAATCCTTTTCGATGAGAGCCTGATTGTGAAGTCAGAACAGTAGATAAGACTACGTAAGACAATGGTGAAGCAAACAAAAATCTAAGAAAGACAGCCTATGAGCAACACCGACAATATCAAGTTAAAATCCTAAACTTGAAATTTATAAGAATTCGAAAATTCTGTCACAAGTAGAACATTAACCCAGAAAACCCAAATTATAGGAATAATGTATACCTGAAACCCAGCAAATGTTCTGTAATATGGATCAAGCAATAAACATGCAAGAGAAACCAGCTGAGTTGTTCTGTCCCATCCATCACTGCACAAAGACATTACAATTCACAACTCGGGAAATAAGAATTAACAGATCATAATTGATTTGTCTGCTTAAGACAGATGCATCTTTGTCTCAACAAATATAAACATTGATATAGCCTAGTAAAACAGATCAGTGGCCTTAAATTAGCTAACCTGCAGTGCACAAGAACTGATGCTGACTCCATAGCAACACGTGCAGCAATCCAAGCCACACCAGCTAAGATGCTCTGGATGTGGCTCAACCAACCACTTTCTCCAAGCAAGGATACTGAAGCTGACATACTACTAAGATTACCTCCACCCCAAGTCCAGCCACCATGTCTCTATAAATTTCAAACAAAATAGTTATCTCCACCTTTAGCAACAGAAGAAGAATTATGGTTCCAAACATTCATTTGAACGTTGATGTACGATCATGTTAACATGCTTTAAGGTTAATACAAGAGAAGCATATTCGATTTGTTACGGAAAAACAACAACTTTATCTGCTTATGTATACTTTTGACAACTACAGATACATAATGATTTCCTTGAAGTTACTACTTACCAAGAATGATGACGTCCCATCGGATGATGTTGTACCGTGCATATCTAAATAATCCCTAAGGCGGGAAAAGCTCTCTCGCATTGCATGTATGTTGTCTATCCCAAAGAACACAATCTGAAGAGAAACAGTGTCAGTAAGAACAAGCAGTTCAAGACGACAAAAATATTGAGCTTCATGTACGGACTTCAGATTGCAAATAATTTGAAGATGATTCTGAGCCCCCTCCCATTGCTCCATTTGCTAATGCATTTTTCCTAGGTCTTGCATCTGCGATGTAAAGCTTCCTACAACATAAAAAAACACGAGAGTAAGTGCATTTTATTATAACAAAACAGCAGCATTCAACCATATTGAAGATATTAACCAACAGAATAGTCTACCTAAATAGACCGTTCTATATATTTCAGAAATAATCCCACGATCAATTGGGCCAACAATGAGTGGTTATTTCCAAGTTATATGCATATGCAATTTATATTTTTACTAGCACTCTTTTTTAGCAAACACAAAACCATACAAGAAATGCAAGCACAAGGAAGTGTCATGGGACTTAAGATGATATAAAGGTGATCAATAGTAAATCCAAATGTTAACTTTAACCAAATGAGAACAAAGATAGGAAGCTTACCGTGGTGCTCCCTTGTGACCAGATAACTGAGTGCAGAATGAAGCAACAAGTTTCTCATCAAAGTTACTGTAGAAAATTGGCAAAATATATCAAACCTTCAGAATCCATCGCTATAAATACTTTGATATCCAAAATAAGAAACTGAATTATCATGACAATTATGTCCATGAAACTGAAACTTCTATGTACCTCCTCATGTTCATCATCAGACCAACTAAAGGTTGTGAAGAGCGAGCAATCACAGCTCCACTTCCTGCAATTAAGATCAAAAAGAAACATGTGTAAATGCGGAGGCTACACCAACGAAATTCAAATGGAAGCACCAGAAGAGGTGCATTTCTACCCGGATGGCACCACGAGATCACGGGCAAGCGACATTTTGCCCGGAAGGTAGACGCTAGGGTCAGCTCTTCATCACTGACATAAAACATGCGGTAAGTTTAGTTCAAGATTATACTTTCCAGGAAGATAGTTTAAACCAATAACAACAGCGGCATGCCAAGTTTCTGTGCCGTTCTAAAATACGAACACAGAAGCTCTAAAGTCTGGCAGAGACCAAATTAAACTCTTCTCATTCGTGTTCAAGGAATCAATGTCCTACCTAATAGATTTAGGAACCATCAAAGCAAACGGATAAGTCGGACACAAGTTATAATTGGAGTTCAAGTCAGTTATCCGCCAAAAGTCATTGGAAACTGAGAATGAACCATCTTCAATCATATTCATTGACGCTCGCGATGAACCTTTTCCGAGAAGTCGAAAATATTCATTAAGCAATCTTTCCTTTGGGTTTGTGTTACCAAAATTGGAAGGCCCGCATGTAAAAGCATAAAGATCCCATACTCTCTCTGTATTGCTACATCTCAACAGTGCATCAACTAGAGAACGTCTCTGCAACATAATACGATAGAATCAAATAGGACAGTATAAGCTTCGAAAGGAAATGTGCAGCAATATACAGAAAAAGAGAGAGTAAAAGTTTCACCTGCTTGGTTCCAGGGGGAAAACCATAGACAATTATCCTCATATCTTTGCCTGCAAAATGCACATGATTCACAAGCATAGTTTCAAACTAACATAACGAAGGTGTACGAACCTAAACTAGTCAAACTAGTTTTAGCAAATGGTAACATACCAGTGACCTGTAAAAGACGTTTTGGTGGATTCTGGGTGGAGTGATGTCTGCTTGAATGAGCTTTCAGCACCTACACCAATGACACAGAATTAAAACGCAACTTCACTAGACTAATCACACAGTGCTGTCTCCAAAGATAGCTAAAAACTGACCGTTTTGTTAAACTTCTCGATAGCCACCAGTGGAATTGTACCAAGTGGAACAGGATCTCTAGTTCCTTCACTCTTCACAAAAAGAGAAACAAGGGATTGATGTGATGCACCAAATTAAAACATTACAATGACACAAAAGAAGAAGCCATACCAAAAAGAGAATACGGTAATTTGTGAGTAAGAGAGTCCCCGCTTCACCGGTGTTTATGAGTAAAACTCCACAACACTGCAAATCAAAGAATATAAACAATTACGAATGAATCGATTCCACAGCCAAATAAAAAACCTTTTCTTGATAAATTTGTAAGGAACCCTAAGGACATACCTCGAAGGTGATCCTCTCAGATTCAAGCAAGCAATCCAAGTTTGAGAAAGAGCTTGACCAAGAAGCTTGCTGCTGATCTCACAATACAAAGATAATATACAAAACGTCAATCGATTAAACCCTAATCAATACCTAATAACACACAATAATTGAAAAGTTAAAAAAGAGTAATAATACATCGGGTTTAGTCCATTCAAGCACGTCCCAGCTTCCGGTACCTTCCATCTTCTCCGACGAATATCGCAGCGATCGTAATCGCCTTGAGGAGTTTCTCGGCGCCGTCATCGAAACGGTGACGAGGCTTCACCTTTCTCTTCTGACTCTTAACGGTGGCAAACGACGGGTTTTGCACGCTTCCTTTCTTTTCGCTGCAAATTACAATTGAGAGACTCGAGAATACGGCGTAGTTTCCGTACGGCTAAAGCTTGCGTTTTAGAACAACTTTTTTTTTTGTCAACCCAAACTGGCGTTTTATTAGATTTTTTTTTTTTACTTGCTTAATAATCTTGCTAACCTATTTAACAAACTAGTTGCATACTCCCCGCGCAAGCGCGGGGCTGGGATCATTGTGTTTGCAATATTTTTTCGATTGTTGGTTTAGTGGATTCTTCTAATAACACCAAATAATAATGAAATTGAAATAATGTAGTAAGAATGTAAAGTGAAAATATTGTATATATAATGTGTTAAATGTTATTTATATGTGAAGTAAGGTTTATAGGAATAGTTAGGCTATAATATAGTTTTTAGTGTGTAAAAGTAGGTGTCTATTTTTTATTTTTTTTGCTGTAAATAGTTTTTATATCGTAGGTCAAACTTGATATAATTCTATATTTATAGTATTTATATTTGTATTAAACGATTTATCAATTTGAAAATAACCTTAATTAAGTTAATATTCGTTGTTTAAGTTTCATTAGATAGGTTTTTATATATGATTTTTTGTAAGTTTGGGTTTTATTCATAAATGATGTGGCATTTTTATCTACGGCGTCATCGACTATGGGAATCCATTCGCCAGAGTCAGGAGTTAATGGTGAGGAATGTTTTCAATGAAATTATAGTAGTTATTAAAATGTAAGAGAAATTACATATTCATTTAATAAATAACAAAAAATACTTAATATTTGTTTTAATTTTATTTTATTTCACATAAATATTTTTTGAAAATATATTAGGAATGTGTTAAATGTTATTTATATACAAAATAAGGTTTATAGTAATAGTTAGACTATAATATAGTTTTTAGTGTGTAAACGTAGGTGTTTTCTTTTTGCTGTAAATAATTTTTTATATTGTAGGTCAAAACTTGATATAATTCTATATTTATAGTATTTATATTTGTATTAAACGATTTATCAATTTGAAAATAACCTTAATTAAGTTTATATTCGTTGTTTAAGTTTCATTCGATAGATTTTTATATATGGTTTTTTGTAAGTTTGAGTTTTGTTCCTAAATGATGTGGTATTTTTATCTACAGCGTCATCGACTGTGGGAATCCATTCGCCAGGGTCTGGAATCGGTGGTGAGGAATGTTTTCAATGAAATTATAGTAGTTATTAAATTGTAAGAGAAATTACATATTCATTTAATAAATAACAAAAAATAATTAAATTTTGTTGTTTTTTTAATTTTATCTCACATACAATTTTTTTGAAAATATATATTAGGAAATCTGTGCAAGGATTAAATTTTTGAGCTCTTAATCTATATTATTTCAGCTTCATTAAGCCATCCACGTAGGCAGCCGCGTGTCTTTTTTTTTTTTTTGTCTGTTCGTTTTTGGATCCATTTTTTTATTATTTTTGGGTTGAGCTATATTATAATAGGATAGTTTTAAGGTTCTTTAAGCCATCCGCGTATGCAACCGCGTGAGACTTGTTTTTTTTTTTATTGTTCGTTTTTGGATCTATTTTTAACTATTTTTGGGTTTTAACTTGTTAAACTTTAGGGTTTATCCAAGATCTTTAACATAATAAGCCCAAACAAATACATAAAATCTTTCTAAACAAAAAGCCCATTTGATAATAACCCAAGTCAAAAAATCAAAAATACATGATAGCTGCGTGGTTTGAACCCACGATCTTGTATGCTTAATTGGACACCTTTTAACACTTGGCTAAAGTGTATTTCATTGTTCATAATCATCTTACTAAGTTTATAGGTTTTAAAACAATACCTACGGGCCCCACAAAACTGCTGACGTGGCGCGTTGTGGAGCTTAGAAACTCTACTATTATAATATAGACTAGATGATAACCAGCGCGCATGCGCGGGGTGAAATTTTTATACCAATACTTATTCATTAAATGATTTTTAACATTTTGCAATACTACAGTATTTATCGATTATAAAATGATGAATACAAATTTTGGTATCTTAAATCATCACAGGTCTGGACGTTTGAGACTTCGTCGGTTTTGGTTTGATTGTGATGTATTTTCAGATTTTGGTATTATTCTCATAAATCCTATTTGAATTTTACTAATTATCGGATTGGATTCGATTTGGTCTTCTCAATTCAGTTTAAATTGGATTGTAACCAATATCTGAAATCATCCCAAAAAATATTTTTTAAACATTAAAAGTTGACAAAAAATTCAAAATATTTAAACTATTAATAAATCTAATTTAAAATTAGCTAAATTATCTAAACAAACTAAAAGATATTTTTTTTCAAAAAGCAAATAAAACAAACTAAAAAAATCTTTCGAATACTATAATTTGTATCCACTAATCTCGAACCTTTTCACTGAAATTTTAAATTAACATATTTATAATATGAATATCTACTAATGATACTTCATATTCGTACGATTTATGATAATTTGTATCTTGTTTGAAAAAAAAAAAGTTAAACCATTGATCATAAAAATATTAATGTAGGATTTTACTATTTTTAGTTATTTATGGTCCTTTTAAGAAATTAAAAATATAACCTATAAGAAAAAAATTAATTTTTATTATATATTTAATGTGATTTTTTAATTTATTTTAATAATTTAAAATTAAACAAAAAAGAGAGAGGACACAAAAATATGTATTATTCATAATCATTAATTACATATATATGTTAATCATATTAGGTAATTCCGTAGCTTTTATTTAAGAAAAGAAAATATATTGTTTTATACCTAGTAGAGTTGGTCCCTTAAAAAATGTATATATTATAGTTCTAAATGCAAGAAATTAAACGTTACATTATTTCATTCCTAGCAAAGTTGGTCCATTAAAAAATTAAGGCTGAGAAGCTCTGTGAGCTTGACACATAAGCATACTCTCCAAGGTTGTGCATTTATGAATGATTCAGGATTAATATATAAGGGATTTTGTTGATAAAGAGTCCTCTAATGGAAAACTTGAGTGTAATTTTGGATAATTAAAATTTCAAGAAAATTGGATAATGTAGTGAAGAATTCTTATTTGAACTCCATTTTTCTTACTTTATAGATATAATAACCTCCGTACCAAAAAAAAATGATAACACGTTTTAAATATAAACTAGGTATAAAATTGTATTATAAACTGAATATGTATTTGTATGATGACCCATTGTTTACTCCCTCGATTTAAATGATGTTTTTTCAGATTTCTGTGCAAACTTTTAGTGCTGTTTCTTTTGTCAATGTTTATGATCGTATCTACTATAATTAAAAGGGGATAATCAAGCCTTCTTACCATGTCCACGTGAGCATAAATAATCAGCCAATAGGGGAGATCGAATCGGCCACGTCAGCGACAACTGGGTGCTCCACGTGTGTTAAGGTCAACTGAGTTTTGTGTTTCAATTAATCGTTCCTCTTCAAAACGACTCATCTTCAAAACGACTCAGGAGGAATCGCCATCCACACTCGAGAGATTCGCTGTCACGGAAACCCAATCCCTTTGATCAGAGAAGAAACCCTAGGCCTGATGGTTGACTAACGGTTTCCAGTGGGCTCTACGTCGTCCTCTAACAGAGCGGAACCATCGTCACCAGAGAATCGAAGCTCTCCTAGGGGTCTTTCATGATTAGACGATGTTTCACATATATATGTGAATCGACCCCCTATCGAGTTTTCAGTCTTCTTAATGGAAACATAATCTCCTAAAAAGGATATATATATATATATATACACGTGTGTGTGTGTGTGTGTTTGATGAACAGATTTGGACATGGATCTGGAGCTAATAGCTGGCTCAAACAATTGGAGGTTTAGTGAAATGATTTGTTGTCTATGAAAGCTACTGTATATAACTCTTCATTGTTAATGTTTATTATGATAAATAGGGAGGAGGATGGTCCAACAACGTCAGAACATGCGTATACATGAAGAAAACTAGACATGGATCATCTAACTATACGGAGAAAGAGCCTCAGTTTACAAGAATATTGAGTGATAAAGCTCAAGAAAATCCAGGTTTAGTCTCAAATTGTTGTTCATGTGATATGATCATATCAGTAATGTAATGTAATATTAAGGATTATTGATTGTCTTTTGCAGACTTTTTTCAACTGGAATATAGTTAGGCTTCATTACTGTGACGGTGCTTCTTTCAGTGGACATGGACAGGATGAGGTTTGAATCATTACACTATATATTGAGTTAATAGAGGCTTTCTTTTTAGTTCTGTACATTTGAGCATCTTCTTGGCTTTGCTTATAACTTTTTACAGGTTGCACAGCTTCAGTTTAGAGGAGAGCGTATCTGGAGAGCCGCTATAGATGATTTAAAGGCCAACAGAATGCGATACGCCGACCAGGTTTGACACTTAAAACTTCTCTTAATTTACACTTCATGATCAAATACAAGAGTAGTTTCTTATGAAACTGTTTAATGTTGTCACAGGCACTTCTCTCTGGATGCTCAGCTGGTGGTTTATTAGCAATATTACGCTGCGATGAGTTCAGAGACATGTTAGTCTCTTTGTAAAAGCTATTTCGTTTCTTAATTGCAATCTTCTTCTGCTTCTTCTTTAGAGTTCTCAGTTTTTTTTTGTTTCTTAGATATGATTGTTGCTGTTTAGACAAAACGCAGCTGTTCACAATGTTTCTATGTTTTTTCTTCCGGCAAGACTTTTGTTGTCTTATGTGTTTTTTGTTTTTACTTTTGTTGCAGTAGTGATGCTTCATGAGCAAACGACAACACCTGTCATAAATTCTCGCATCTTTATCCCGACATATCCCTGCTCTGGTTCTCTCACAGGAGCCACGGGAAGAGCCTTCTAAACCTCTTCCTCTCTCACACACTCCTCCTTAAGAGAAGACAGAACATCTCAGCAGGTAGCATTTTTCACACCTTCAATATCATAAAGTTTTCAACTTTATTTTCTTTTATTCAATTGTAAGTGATCCCCATCTTTGTCAGTTTCAATTACACTGCCATGTTGATCGTAGCAGCCTTTGTGTCCATTGCTCTTGCGATGCACCCCACTGATTTATGCTTCATAAATGTTGATTTAGTTTTCTCTTTTTTTTTTTCCACAGCAAGAGATATGTAAGGGATTGATTTTGGGAACACTTTTCTTGCAGCCTAGCTTCTTGGTTCCGGTTGAGGTAATGTAAGTCTTTACTCGGTTTGGTTTAATGGTGTGGTGGTGAGGCTCCTATTTTTGTTGTGTATCTGTTCTCCTCCTACACTTGTGAGGAATAATAGTTTTTTTGGTCAGAAATTGAGCTTAAAATCATAGTTATGTTTTCTCTGGCCGTAATGTTCATTTGTATGCTTTATTTTCAATTTCCTTTTAAATTTCCAATCTTTTTGAATCTTTCAGGCAGAATTTTATATACAAAAAAACTATGAAGGTCCTTTTTGAATCTCCAAAAAATATCCTTCTAAGAAGATTCTTAAAGATGCTCCCAAAGTCTCAGATTTGTGTTGGCTACTCTGAACTCCATTGAATAAGAAATGCTGGATAATCTTACGATAATAAAGAAGATAATGGAAGAACTCTAGAGGAAAAGGAAACTATAAATGCTTTTCTGATGTATCTTGGTACCTAGGTTGCACGGGTACGTCAATTCACTAGGTTATGACTTCAATACTATTGAGCTGACTCAGCTGGTGAGAAGGTTCATGTCTTATTGCTTTGATTCCCAAAAAATTCTCTATAGCTGTGCACTAGAGTGTTGGAGTGAACGGTAAACGCTGGAGATAAGTTTATACTTGGAGTATTGTGGTTGTTGGATAGAGAGAGCGGTAGAGAGGACATTTTGGTCTGTTGGAGAAGAGGGTGGAACAGTGATGTATCACACGTTTGACTCTCAAGTCAGATGTTTATAGCTATGAATGTTAGTTCTTGAGATGATTGGTGCAAGGAACAAAGAAAGCGCTCATCTAGACACAGCTAACACAAGTTCATCAAGGAACAAACGGATTGAGAAGCCTTGCAGGTAGTGTGCGTCGCCTAGCTACCTTGAATTGGGACTGAACAACGAGGACTCGAGAGAATCTAGCAGAGCATTATCTAAACTTTTTTGGGAGCTTTCTATTTTTGCATTTTCTTGGTGTAATGAATAATGACTTGTGAAGTTGAGGTGTTCCTTTTGTTGTGTTTTCATATTGTGTAAGTTTTCATATATGGAAGACTTATTAAAAAAAAGGAAGACTATTATTATGTTTGTTATTATGATTTAGCTCTTTTTAAAGTACACTAACCGTGTTGTCAAGGACCGAATGGAAAAAGACATGACCATATACTTTATCAAACTGCAGTGATATTAATCTTGAAGTTTAGAATCTGCTCATATAATACAAACGTGAGTTCCTCACTAAGACATGTTCTTCTTGCTGGTTCACATTATCTCAAAGTCATTAGCTTCCTATCAATTATGCAACCTGCATTTCCAAAGATCTCACTAGAGAGAAATGTTATGAGAACTAAATAGAGAAATCGTCAGAACTTCAAATTTATTACTCATTCCACATATTACGTGTATGTATTTTACAATTTTTCAAACAATTATTTTAAGAAAATAAATTTTCCCAAAAGATAATAAGGTAGTTAAGAGTACTAATCACTAAACATTTAAACCTATACAAAATGCTCAACGCAGAGCAAACCCAAATTAAAAATAAATAATGACGTGATCAGTGAAGAGTTAATCCAAAATTTCTGACCAAATAATTATAGTTATCCTTAATGGTGTGATCAATGATGGTATAGTAAGAATATTTTTTTGTGTTTTTGAGTATATGAAAAATATTATTGTTGCTTACAATACAAAGTTATTATTTATAAGATTTCAGATATCATAAGCATTATTGCAAAATATAATGCGATGACTGGTAGAAAATCTATAAATATTAACATTAGTTAACCATATACAATCTATACTGCTAAAATAGAATCATAATTTTGATCTAACCTTACTTTACCGTGTGATGTTATCAACTTTGAACCTAAATAGTTAATGGAACTTTGTGGCTTTCTGATGTGTACCACTGGAAAAAATACCATACAATATTATTAACTAAAAAAAGTTAAGATATCTTTATGGCTTTTGATTACGCTTGCGCGGTAAATCACATTATAATCATTTTTGTAAAAACAAAATTACTTCCTCTATTATACCAAAGTTTTTCCACCATTTATTTATAATGTTATATCAAATAAGTTTGTATAATATCAATTTAGGTTAGCGAATCACCAATCCATACATTTTGAGAAGGTCTTACACAATTTTTAAGGTTCATTCTATTTTTTTCTCAAAATAAAATAACTTTATAATAGAATATGATTATATTTTAATGATACTATATTTTAGATTTTCTTACAAACTTTATGAAATTGTAATTTATTGCAGCTCCATCTTAAATTGTTCGATAAGAGTTAAAAGTCAAAAATAATAATGGAAGTATTTGTTCTCTAACACACTAACAATAATACAAGGTATATATTTTGTCTACGCAATACGAATGACTAATATCTGCATGCGTATAATGGACACAATCTAGCCAAAGTACTTTTACTTAGTATCTAAACACTGAATCGTTAATTTTAAATTTTTACAATAAATGCTTATTTATAAAACAGTCAATACCAAAAAATAATATCAAAAAAATTATAGTTTAAAATTTAAGAATTTATTGAACCATTTTTATCGGCCACCAAACTTCACATATTTAAATATTCAAAGTGATTACACTTTTATTAATATATATATATATATATATATATATATATATATATGAAATTAAGGTTGTTTACCTATTCTTCAAATAATAATTTAATAATTAAATCAGATGATGTATAAACAAATATATGTTACATAAAATAATAGAAAAAAAGATGGCAACAAAAATATTGAAACTTTTAATAAAGAGTTAGACATGACTACTAAAAGATTCATAGAAACTTTAATCATGTTTACATCTAAAATATACATTAAATATTAATTAATAATATTTCAAACAAAAAACAACTCTTTCAAAATATTCCATTCTAATTTTTCAAATATTATAACTAACTAAATGATATAATATAAGACAAAAATAAAATAATTTTATTATAAAATTGATATTCAAGTTTTACTTAACATTTAAAATATATAATTTGTATAAACAAATAAACCGCGCGTAGCGCGGTAAAACCTCTAGTAAAGATAAGATAGCATCATACACATATTTGTATTGTATGCAATAAACAAGTATATTAATGGTTTAACCGTATACGGAACTGAATTTTGAGATTTGGAATTATGAATTGGTTCAAAAACCCCATACCAGTGACATCACCATATACAGTATACGAATAAACTATGACCGAAAGAAAGGAGAACAAGCACGAGTTATAATAATAATACAGACAAGTTGGACAAGTCTCCCAAATCAAGGATTCTTCTGTGTCATCACCATTGGATTTTACATAATCAAAAAACACCTTGGCACATACGTTTATGTATCTCAACCCACAATAAAATCTCGTAGAACAATATACAACGCATCATCATATCCTACTACAAGTAAAGGAGAGAGAGAAGATAAAAGAGGAGAGCTCACATCTTTATACCTCTCGTGGTGGTAATCGAGCAATGTAACAGCTTTTCGTCCTCGGGTTTGGTCCAAGCTCTGCACGGTTTGGTTTTCCCGGGGGTTGAGTGTAGGTCAAAAGAAGTAGTAAAAATGTAATCTCGACGAGCTTCACTAGTTATCTGTGTCTAAACATTTCTCCAGGGTTTGACTACTGGTACACTCTTGAAGAGCCTTTGCGTTAAGTTCTCTGCCATATCTCCACACATAGTTGAGCCCAACAAGAAGCTCCGTGATGATTGTTTCTGTTTTCTGCTGGTTCGCAAAGAAAAGGGTTTGTGCAAGAACTATGTGCGTCCTCGAAACTAAGCTTTGGTTCTCGTAACTCCTCTCGGATTGCCATTTTATCATGTTGTGAGCTAATGGACTCAACCATTCCAAGATACCCGCCATTGCGTCTGTCCACTCTTTCGCTAGCCCTGGATCATAAACCGCAGAAGTACTCAAGTTTTTCGAGTAGGGCTTTAGCCTCTCTCTCAGCGATTTTCTCACGCTCGCAGGTAACATGTTGTATAGGTCGTCTCTTGCATCATCCCCTATCAAGTGAGGAGATGCAACAAACCTCTCTATCACGATGATAACATTAGCATAGTGTAGCGCTAAGCAAGCTGCACCAAGGGTATTAGGAGCAGCATCTGACAACTTAGGTCGGGAAGGAAGTGCCAGATTATCAACGTGGTTAGAATTCCCTTCGAGAATATGATGCTCCGCACTACTACTCCTAGCTCCATTCTGGTTCCTAGTGCTGAGAGGAGTGATACCGTCTTGAGACACCATGCAGCCTTTAAAGGGACCAACCTGTGTTAAACGGTTCTGTTTCGATTGCTTTTTCGTTGAGGAAACCGAAGGCCTTTCCGGTGTCTGCTGCACCGTCTTCTTGTTGTGTTTCCCCATTCCCATAAGTGGTCCTGATTTAGAGGTGAACTTCCCGAGAGGACCCGAGTAAAACTTGAAACGTTGTTTGTTCTTTTCTGGGGCAAGAGGACCTGACTTAGGAGACTGGGCGCTGAGAGAACCCGAGAGAAAATCACCCATCTTCGTCGACTTTGTAGCAGAAGCAGCTGAGCCTGATGCTGGACCAGTAAATCTCCCAAGAGGACCAGAAGCAAATCTAGGAGGACGAGTAGTCTCAGATTGCTGCGACAAAATCGTAGAAACCGAGTGGCCACGAGCAAGGTAATCAGAATCCGCAGAGCTAACATCACTAGCCTCAGCTCTGTAACTAATACCGAAAACATGTTTAGTCCTAGTCAGAATAGTGAAAACCGATCTAACCAAGAGAAGCACAGTATAGTCATAAGTCCGGTTCCAAAGAGACACATCCCTTAAATTCTTCACCTCATGCTTCTTCCACGTGACTTTCTTCTTATACTCCAATAAATTATCAGTAGCAGATTCATTACACATCCTTCTCTTCAAACTCTGCTCAAGCTCAGCCAAAATCTCAGTCTCCTGATAAAGACTCGCATTAGACGAAATAAACCTCTCCATCCTCTTAACTTTCCTATCCATCTTCTTCCACCCAAACTGCCACCCGTAAGGATCAACCCCTGTCTTCATCATCTCCCCAAAACAATTCTCAAAGCTCTTCAACTTAGCGTCGTTACATCTCCTAGCGAGCCGTGACACAGCTTTCGCTACATTCTCAACGTTCTCCATCATCTCGTCGCGTATCAGCCTCACGACGAAGTCATCGTCTTCTGAGACCAGCTTCTTGATCCCCGTGGAACGTGTGATCTCTTGCCTGAGGCGAGCGACGTTCTTGTCGCTTAGGGATTGCCATAAGTGAACGAGTTTCGAGAGGAGGCTTGCAACTTCGAAGGCTAATACTCCAAGCACGTCCTTCTCTTTATGTCCTTCGTTTTTTTTAGGGAATCTCAATAGGTTACGAAACCAAGTCTCGGAAACCATCCTATCTCTCAATCGATACAATCAATAGAGCCTCCTGCACAATGAAAGAACATAGTCGTAAGGAAACGCGGAATCAATCAATTCGCATCGAAAAATTGAAATCTCGAGCTGGAATCATCAAGAAAACAGCTCTTACGCGAACAATAGGAATCGGATTTGAGCTAGATCTAGCTACGAGAGCTCAAGTTACTACGCAGAATCGCCAATTTTACCAAAATCGAGTTTCTAATTAAGAAATCTCCAGCTGCAGTATGTAACAATCACTAGAAGACGTATGAATGATTTGAATTGGAATTTGTCGGCAAATCGAGAAACAGATATAGAAGCAGAGGAGACGAAAGCGAGGAAGCGCGTAACAGAGAGAAGAAGCTTACCGATTGATTATTCGAGGAAAAGAAAGAAAGAAAGGAGAGAGAGAGAGAGCGCGAGGAAGGTGCAGTGGAAGAAGACTATAGCCACATCCCACATGGAGCGAGAGAGAGAGAGAGAGAGAGGTTAAAGCAGGAAATTATGGAGAGAGAGAGAGAGACGGATACTGATGTAGGGAGCGAGTCAAGTTCGTGTGAAAGAGAGAATCCTATATTTGCCTTTTTTTATTTCTTTTTTTAGTTTACTGCTTTTTAGTAACTTTATTACGTTTTTTGCCTCTAACTTTTATGATTTTGTCACTTTCCTATAACCAAAATAAATTTTGAAAAACTAAATCATAATTTGGCTGATAAATTGGCTCCTACATATATAACATGATAATTATTTTGGATTTTGCCTCGAACTTTTATGATTGTCTCATTCTAGAGCCAAAATATTTTACAAGTATTTTTCCAACAATCTATTTCTATTATATTATATTTTGGTTGATAAATTGGCTGTAACATTACATATTGGGGGTGACTAGAAACTATTAGCGTAACTTAGAGTAATTATAATAGAGTAAATTGATGAAAATGTAACAGAGTAATCTGGATAAAAAGTGGTGAATGAAAAATTATAAAAAACAAAAATATAGAAAAAGTTTCCCTCCTCAAAAACAACAATGGAATAAAGGTTACATTACCACTATTTAAACAGTGACCAGCGTAAATGAACAAAATATAATTAACTTTTATTTTACCCGATTGGTAAAGTTTTAGCTGAAACTGGAGTAACATCAAATCAAGAGTAAAAGTTTACGCTATATGTACCATACAGTCACCCCATTATAGATAATAAATTGTTTTGTATTCAAGTAATGGCAACAACGAATATTTAGCACATGCAAAAATATGAATTAAGATAGTTTTCAAACTTCGCTTATTAAAAACTATCTATTTTCAAAGCAACATACTTGACAAGTATTTAATATATTTTTCGTTTAAATATAAAAACAATACAGGATAGTTAAAAAAAAAGACTGAGATTATTAAAAGGAGATTTATTGGACCAGTCACATGTTGTTAATTGAAATAAATTTTAGTTTTCATTGTACTTTTACTTAGTAAACACTAAATTGCTTAAACTTAACCGACACGTTAGGGAACAAAATTGACCCAACTAGTTTGCAGTTGACGTTGAACTTGTCAAAAAGAACAGAAGCGAAATATTTCCAATAAGGTATTTATTTTATATCTATTGTAAAGCTATTCTAAAGGTGTTGAATGGGTTGTTACTTGTTGGAGCATGCACCTTTTCTTGTCGTGTGTGGAAGTGAAAACAAAAAACATAAAACAATGAATGCCACCTCTTGCAACTAAATTATGTGAAGATGATGATTAAAAACCAAAGTTGACCATTTCATCCCACGGCCATAAAAATTCTGAAACAGAGCAAAGGAATCTCATAATAATGAATCTTGACTCGTTCAGACGAAGACTACGATTCATAAGTCATAACTCGTCGACTTGTGACATGATTTGCTTTTGGGACCCTACGTGTAGAAACTAAATATGTGAGGGTCAAAATGAAATCTCTAATAAAATAAAGGAGCAACAGGCATGTGACAAGAAAAAAAAGGAGCAATTGACAAGAAACTACAGGATAAGGCATTTGGGATAGGATTAGAAAGATGAGGGACTAAAGTGAAACTAACTGGGTTAGGATTAGAGGAAGAGATCCGTCACAATCATTAATGGCTAACACGCGTAAACTTGTCGTTTATTTAAATAACTTATCGGGTCGGGTTTTGAATTTAAAACGAGTCAAATAATACTCCATATATTGGGCTTCAGGCCCATATCTATTTGCTGTAAAAACTAAACGTTTGCTAAACCCTAAGTCTCTCTCTCTCTCTTTCGCCACCGACAAGAACAATGGGTGCGAAGGCGAAGAAAGCTCTGAAGAAGAACATGAAGAAGATAACAGCTTCGGCTGCTTCTTCTTCTACTTCTTCGAAGCTGGCTGTTGTTCCCCAGAACGCGAAACCATCGGCAGATTTTTTGGTAATTTCTTTCACATTTATCTCTAATAATTAGTATCAGATTCTATTTGTGGTTTTAATGTCTCTGTTGATTAGCCACTAGGAGGAGGTCCAGCTCGGAAAGCACCAGTGACTAAACCTCTTGAGAGTAAAGCGACGGTGCTATACATCGGTAGACTCCCTCATGGATTCTATGAGACTGAGATTGAAGGTTTCTTCACGCAGTTTGGAACAGTCAAGAGAGTTCGTGTCGCAAGAAACAAAAAGGTTTTTTTAATTTGTTTTCTCTTGTCTTGTCTCTTGAGGTTATATTGTTCTGTGTTTTGTTTTCTCATTATTGTTATTTTTTAATAGACTGGGAAGTCAAAGCATTTTGGGTTCATACAGTTTGAGGACCCTGAGGTAAATATTAATATTTATATCTAACTGAACCTGTAAAAAATTGTGAAACGCTTATATATGTTTTAGAGTTAATTCTTTTAAAGTTTTTTTTACATTTTGTTTCTGTGGTAGGTGGCGGAAATTGCAGCGGGTGCGATGAATGACTATCTGTTACTCGAGCACATGCTTCAAGTCCGTGTTATTCCACCAGAGGATGTTAAACCCAATTTGTGAGAGTCACTTCTTAAAACCACCACTTCACACATATAATTAGTTAGCATATAAAATTGTGAAGAGTGTTGTTGGTGGCTGCATTGTTGAATGAAATAGCTCTGTTTCTTGTGGTTAGAAAGTTTAATGGTAGGATGTAGTAAAAACTAAAGTGAAGACATGATGTGAGTTTATTAGAAAGGGCCCTTTTTCTCGGATTAGATGGTTCTTGTGATTCATGAAATTAGTATAAATAAAATGTTATACTTAGTTGTTATCTGGTTTTTAACAACTCATTTCTCTGCTTTTTTTTTGTTTTCACTTTGCTGACTTCATATTCAGAAACTAGGATGTGTGATCTGTCTAGTGTGTGAAGAATTGTCTGTTGAACGTTAGGTTTCTCTGCTTTTTTCAAGTAAATTGTATTTGATCGTAATTCTTTTATGTTCTGAATGACATTATTAGGTGGAAAGGGTTCAAGTGTCAGTACAAACCAGTGGATTGGGTTCAGATCGAGCGTAAACAACACAACAAGGTAACATAATAATCTTCTTTGTTTTTCTTGTTTGCCGTTTTCTCTTGAGCTATTGACTTTAATTTTTGTGATTTTTGTTTTCTAAATGCAACACAGGAAAGGACACTGGAAGAGCATAGGAAAATGTTGCACAAGGTAGTGAAACGTGACCAGAAAAGGAGAAAGAGAATCGAAGCTGCTGGAATAGAATATCAATGCCCCGAGCTTGTAAGTATCCGACTATACACAGTTTCTTCTACTTTCTCTCTACATCTTTTATAATCGAGTCTTCTTTGTTGCTGCTTCAGGTTGGAAATACCCAGCCATTACCTAAGAAGATCAAGTTTAGTGAAGACTAAGTTGTGGAGAATACATTTTCTATAAGCAATTTTGGAATAGGTCTTGCTTGTTGTTCTTCTGACATGGGATCCAAATCTCAACTTTTTTGAAATATCTGTTATTGCAATGAAAATTGTGTTTGAACAAAGTTTTGCAAAGAACTATACACATGACTAGATGAGATCATCATCATCAAACGCTTGCTTAACAGTATGCTGCAAAATCTGAAGGGGTTGTGTGATGATTACGTGGAGAAGAAGGAACTTGTAGTACATGGAACTCATCAAAATCAAACCCTAAATCTTCAACCGCCTTGTCCACCTGCGAGTTGCCAGGGATTTGTCAAGAACATTAAAGAGGAGGATTAGATCGTAGTGGTTTCTGACAACAATAGCAACGGGGATTTTGTTATACACGGAACTAATGAGGAGTTAGGTCAAAACCAAACCCTAGATTTTCAGTTGACTTCTTCTGCAAGTCATTGCATTCAGGATGTTTCACATGAGAATTTCGAGGGGTGTGTCAAGAGCAGTGAAAAGGAGGATCATATCGTAGCGGTTTCGGACAGCAGAAACAACTTGGATTAATCAAAAGAACTTGATATTAATTCATTCCTTGGTTTTGAGATGAATCCTGAAGGTTTTCTGACGACTAGTTTGGAGATGGATGATGTCTCTATGATGATGAATACAGATCAAAATCAAAACTGGTGTTTTAACTCTGAATCTGTTGAAGATGGAGCAGTAGTGTTTCTCAGAGATTTGGAACAAAATAATCTCCAATTCTCTGATATTACAAAACTGATATAAATACACTAATGAAATAAAACACGACATGGCTACAGAAGAACATAGTAGTATTGATCATTGCCAAATATCACCTGTAACTTTTCTTTTTCACGTTTCTTCAAAATCATAGTAGTCCGAAGAAAAACGAAAAAACAAAGTCAGGATGGATCATGTTAAGGTAGTGAGGTAATACCATCAGTAAAAAGAACCCTAAAAAAATCTAAACCCTATGTACAATATCACCGTAGAAAAACTATACACAACAAAAAGGCAACAGAGATTATATACTCTCATATCATCATCCTCTTTGCAAAAATGCCAGCCAAAAACCTAAAGTTCTATTTCAGTTCCAGTAGTTTGCGTACCAAGCTTGTAACTTCTTTTTTCCATCATTACCAATATCTATCAGTTCAAGAATAGTTTTGAAGACAACTCGATCAGTTCAAGAATAGTTTTGAAGACAACTCGATCGGTTCAGCTACTTTCTTGGCTTCTGCAATCTTAAGAGCCATCGTGGCTTTGAAAACAGCCAAATCTGCATTCTCTCCAAGAACTTGCGCTCTTCTTCTTCTAGCAATGGCAATCTCCATGGTTGCTTCAGCCAAGGCTTTGGTTTCTTCCACTCGAAGAATAGCCTCTTGCTCCTCCAAAGCTTCTTGTTCAGCCGTCTTTACAGCCCCTGTCCACGTTAAACCGCCCACACAAATTCAGATCTTTTCTCACTCAGTGTGTACTCTGTGGACCTAAGTGCCACTTTTATTGAGCTTAATCATCAATATCTAACTTCAAATCTAACAACAACAAACATGAACTCTGTGGTAATCTACTCTACTTAAGTGCTCTTCGCCAAGACTATTCCATCTAACTCTATCTCTCAAGTGTATATACTATTCACATGTTCATTACTTGGTAAACCCAATACATCACAACACTATCCACTACACTCCATCGAACAACATATCGGAACTACTTAAATTCCCTGAGTCATAATGTACAAGGAACATACCGAGATTTAGCTGTTTAATTTTTCTATGGAGCTGACTCCCCTGCCTTTTGAAGGACCTTCCCTTACGAAACACAGTTTTGGAAGGCAGAGGAGTTTTCTTCGCTTGATTAACCTGTTTAATTATTTTAACGAACATCAGTTTTTGTAACACGGATGAAAACAAAAGGTCCACAAGTACACAGGATCATGCAACTACTGTTTTACCTTGAAAACTCTAAGGAGTGGTGCTTTTCGCTTCTTCTTTTTCCTCAACCAGTAACCATGTACTGCTTCAACCACCTCTTGCCTTCCCAGATATGAAAGACTAGCAACAATGGTTGCTTTCTCACCCAAGGGATCATTGGCAGGGCTCAGGAAACAGCGCTTTTCAAACCCATCAATCATCAATTCAAAACTATCTTGCTCAAGAATCACTCGACCTTCTTTACCAAACACTTGCACGTTCTGCTTTCTCAGCCACTCTTCATCTTCAGAATCCATGTCATAGATCGCACTACTTCTACCCAAGGCCCTTGAAACCTCATCTTCTTTCAGAGAGATATATTGAACCGGCATAGAAAACGAGGGAGAATCATCATCATCATCCCCATACCCACACACTTGTCTTACACCAGGTATAGGAATGACTTTCCCACTCTGTTGCGATACTACATTGTACTTGTGTACTAGTACACTACGCGAAATGTTCCCGCCTCGTCTCTTTCTTAAAGAGCTTCTTCTCCCCCTCTGGATACCATGAAAACCTAAACTGTTTCTACATTGACCATTCCCTACAGTTAACTTTGAGCCTCTCACTAACGGATGTAACCCAACTACATCTCCATTGTTCCTTGGACTACAAGGTGGAGACAAAACTAACTCAGACTCTGATTCACACTCTTCAACCGGATTGTTCAGCAAACACAGATATCTCTCCACAAAACCAAAACCCCATGTTGCCACTCTGAGAAAAACCGTCAAATGCATAGCCATGAAACACCCAGGAATAGCAGAAAAATCAGCTGAAAACAGAGGAAGACTATTCATCTCCCCAAAGAATCTGCATACACCCCTTGAGCTAAAAGGAGCCTCCTGAAAAAAATTAGAAGATCCACACACTTCACATCATCGCTACTTACACAAAGACAATGTAAGTAGAGAAGCCACTTACCGCAAGAAACCGAACCCCATGATCTGCAAACACGTCCTTGATCGGTTGAGACAGGAAGAAAGAAGCTAAAGAAGTCAGACTAAGTTGCCCCCTCCTCCTCAAGTACCTCATTACCAAACCGAAAACAGTCGACAACCAGCAACCCTTACATGACCAAACTACTCTAAGAGTAATCACAGGAACAACAGAGAGTATTCTTTTCCGCCTGGAATAAAACTTGAGGCTTTGAGGTGGTTTCCTAGAACTAGATTGGTTAGAAAGACTCTTCCTTTTCCTACTATATACAATCCCAAACTTCTTATCAACATCTCCCTCAGATTCACTACTCACTTTTCTCCGTTTGTTAGCAGTAAAGTCTTCTCCTTTGTTGTTGTCTCCTTTGCCTTTGGCTCGCTTCACCTCTTTAGGTTCGTCGACGTTGTGAGAGATTCGGCGACCAGAGCGGAGGACACGAGCTCCGTCTAGGGGTTTAGCGACACCGAAAACTCTGGTGGTTCGTCTCATTCCCATCTCGAACGACACCGTTTTTTACCACTCAGTCACTTTAGTCAAAAGTCCCTTCCTTTGATCTGTTTATGAAGAAAGCACGGAACTTTAATCCGAAAGATCTCTCCTTTTTTCGAGTAAAAATTTGAGGAAAATCGAAACGGGAGATGGGTAGATTCTTTACCAAATCGATGTTTGGATTAGAGACTTAGATCAATGGAGATTGGAAAAAAAAAATCGAGAGATTAGATTGACGGGGTTCGAGATCTGTTTCATCTTTCTAGAAACGAGTAGGCATGGTGAAAGGAGCGGAGGGAGGGAGGGAGATCGTCGTTTCGACGAGAAGAGAGGGAACCTTTAGGGCTTATGATCGAAAACAATAACCAAGAAAGCCAAAAAAAAAAAAAAGGATCTGTTTTAGTTGTGACCGTTGGATGATATGATCAACGGTTCAGATTGAGTCTGGTTCGATGGGTCGTCCAAAGGCGGTCTTTTTCTTTTTTATTGGGGGTTGCACGAATATCAAAGAGAAAGAAAAACGAATTTAAAACGGAATGGGTCGAAATTTTCAAAAGGCATTAACAAGGAAATGACGAAAAGACCCTTGATTTTAAAGCGAAAGGTGTGTGTGTGTGTCTCGAGTGTTCCTGTCGAAGGAATCTAGTTATTTACGAGTGTTTTACACATACTTTAGACAAGAAGAATCAACTATAAGTCTATAACTAAGCTTTGCTTGGACAAATGTAAGAACAAGAAGAAACACTAAGCTTTTAATTGGTGTTAAACATGTTGTATTAAGACAAAAGAAGATAGCTTTGAGACGACATGAGATGATGATTACTAGACCAAACATTTCTTTCTTTCAAAAACATAAGGGTCTTCAGAGATTATGATTTATTGAGTATCCATTACAATATATATGATATTATTTATTTTTTTGGGTAGGGATCTCTGCTAAAACAGAGATGCTTTGTTGCTTCTCCCAATGTTTAGGCCTTGGCGGTTTCAGCCTCGTCGGCTCCCCAGAAACTGGTTTTCTTTCCAGTCTTTGAGACTGTCTGCAGAACAGCTTCTGGCTCCACGTTTCCTTTCACCGTTACCTTCTGTTCTTTGAGATCAACATCAAATGACTCCACACCTATCAACGAACAATATTCGTTTGTGAGTGTTTTGTTAACACATCAAAACATCGAACCGCAAACACACAATCTTATTGTCAAAGTAATAAATCACAGAGAGTTTTAGTGAAAGCAATGTTTTCGAGGTCTTGATTAAGAATTGGACATTTGTAGGAGTAGGACACACTATAGGTTATGATCGACGGAGAGAAACATTTCTTGGAATAAGTTCTTAAAGTGATGTAAATTATATAGTCGATGAGAAAGCGAGAAATACCAAAGAAAGCTTATAGAACACAATGTAAACTAGTAGAGAAGAGAACTAAACTAACCTTGCATTTTGCCTAGGACTCGTTTCACAGCTCCAACGCATCCCTCACATGGCATAGCCACCTTTAGAACCACAGTCTTCTCAGGAAAACAGACCACATATTATTAACTTAAAACTTTGGAAAGATTCATAAAAATGGACTTGACAAGAAGTAACATAATCTTGGAACACCATGTCCTATTAATTGCTTTATCAAGTTCCTCAAATGATCACAGAAACAAACTGTCCGAAAACAATTTAAATAGTAGATTGGTCTAGACTCTAGAGAGAAACAGATGCAGATTTTTCAGCTACCATGTACATGATTCACTATCTTATATGATCCTCCTTCCTTGCCATCACCAAGTTTGATAGAAAAAAAAAACAAATGAAGGAAACAAGTGATATCAATAGATCTAACTACAGATCTCTATTACAAAGGTCGTTGCCAGATCAAAAAGAATCATAATATCCAAACAAGATCGGTAAATCGGATCAAAAGCCAAACTCAAACCAAAGGGGATCCTAGACACACACAAAAAAAATCAAAAGGGAGCCAAAGTCTGATTCAAGAACCTGAGACATGTCTATTCTCCTTCCTGATGTAAACGTTTCAACCACAGCAGCGAATAAGATTTGTAAACGAAAGAGATGCCTTTAGAAATTTTTTCCTTTTTTTTCTTTTTAAAAGGACGCAGCTTTTGACCAATTCAACGAAGATATTCCTATTTTAAATCAATTTTTTTTTATGAAAATAATAGTATTGTTTTAAATTAAGTGCAGTTGACTTAAGAACAGTACTCTGTTTCAACGCCATAAAGCTTCACTTTTCTTGTTTTGTTTGTCGTCGTCACACTAAAAGTCTTAACAAGGAAATCGCAACGAAGCTTCCTGAGTGAGTCCCTCCCTCCCACATGTCCTCCTCCTTCTTCCTTCTCTCCCCCCAACTCTCTCTCTCTCTCTCTCTCTGTCTCTCATCGGCAGGACACATGGCAGAACTTATCGGAGAAGTTATGACGGAGGCGGCGCTTCAGCTTTTTATGGTTTCTAGGAAAGCCTACGGGTGCAAAGGAGTGGCCTCAAACCTCGCCGACATGATCGTGGACATCCAACCAACAATCAGTGAGATCCGCAATAGCGGCGTGACACTGCCTCCCCATCGCGAGGCTCAGCTGAGTAAATTCTCTGAAACACTAGAAAAGTGCTTGAAGCTCACCAATGATGCTCTCAAAACCAGCCGTTGGAACATTTCCAGACAGCTATACCAAGCCAAGAAAATGGAAGCTCTCGAGAAGAGAATCTCTTCTTTTCTCAGGTGCCAGGTTTTAGCTCACATTCTCGCTGACGTTCATCTTATCCGGGCCGATTCCGATGTCCGTTTCAGTCGGGTTGACCGTAGCTTGGACAGCATGAATAGACAGATGACCCACGTACTCTCTCACGTTCACCATCTCCAAGCCACTTGTGAAATGCGCTTCGATTGCACTGACAGAAGTGTTGATAGAGTGAATGAGCAGATGTGCACTTTTGAAGTGCGTTTCGATCGAACTGACAGGAATTTTGATACGCTGAGTGATCAGCTGGGTTCTATGAGTATGAGAAGAGGAGTGTCTGTATTGGGTGATGTTGGAGATTTTTGCCGGGTAGGTTTGGATTGGGGCAAGAGGACGGTGAAGGGGATGCTGTTTAAGCTGGAGGATGAAGGGAGGCTTATTGGGATCTCAGGGATGAGCGGTTCCGGGAAAACCACTCTTGCCAGAGAGATCATGCTGGACGAGGAGGTTCAAGGTATAGTTTTTGTTTAGCTTTCCTATTTTTTCATAACTGCTGCATCTTTGCTTCAATTACTATAGGTTGCTGCCATGCTTCAGTTGTTGAGTTCAAGACATTGGACTCTGGTTAAGAATTTACACATATTCTTGCTTTAATGCTAAAATGGCTTATTTTCAGGCCACTTTGAGAACCAGATTTTGTTTCTCACTGTTTCACAGTCTCCTAATCTTGAGGAGCTGAGGGGCCTTATTTTGGGATTTTTTTCTGCTTATGATGATGATTCCTCCCGTGGTCAAACACGGAAGCTACTGATCCTTGATGATGTTTGCACAAGGAGATCCTTGGACCAGCTCTTCTTTAAAAGGCCTGGAACCACAACTCTTGTAGTCTCTCGTTCTAAACTCGCAGATCCTAAAGCCACTTACCATGTGGAGTTACTAAATGAAGATGAAGCAACGTCTCTCTTTTGCCTCTCTGCTTTCGATCAGACATCAATCCCTTCCGGATTCAACATCAAATTGGTCAAGCAGGTACTGCTTCTTTTACAACTCATACCCTACAACTGATACTCTAGCTTTGGGTACTCAAAATTTATTCTGCTATTTGAAAGATTGTTGAGGAGTGTAAAGGTCTGCCTTTGTCACTGAAAGTCATTGGTGGTTCCTTAAAAGACCAGCCTGAAATATATTGGCAAGGTGCAGTGAAGAGGTTATCAAAAGGTGAACCTGTAGATGAAACCCATGAGAGTAGAGTGTTTGCTCAAATGGAAGCAACCCTAGAGACTCTAGACCCTAAAACTAGAGAGTGTTTCTTGGATCTTGGTGCTTTCCCTGAAGACAAGAAGATCCCTCTTGATGTTATCATCAACATGTGGGTTGAACTGCATGATCTCGAGGAGGAAACTGCCTTTGCTGTTCTTGTTGATTTATCACACAAGAATCTCCTCACTCTCGTCAAAGATCCAAGGTTACTTTTACAACAACTCTTATAACATTCCAATCTCATGTGTCCAGTTTAATTAACGTTTATTTAAACCATGTATAATTTTTGCAGGCTTGGCGCTTTGTACACTGGACACTATGATATATTTGTGATGCAGCACGATGGTCTAAGAGACCTAGCCATCCATATTAGCAACCGTGGGAGTGTCAGCAGAAGAGTGCGGTTATTGATGCCGAGAAGAGAGTTGGGGCTTCCTAGAGAATGGGAGAGGAACAGTGATGAACCATTTAATGCCCGGATAGTTTCCATTCACACAGGTCAGGACACCTAAATTTATTTCTTTGGTTGTTCACTGAAACCATATGGGAATTAGGTAACATGTTCCCATTCGATCTAGATTTCCTAATTTTCGGTACTATGCTCATAAGTTCGTTTCTTCCGAGTTTGGTTCCCAAAAATCTTTTTTAAAAACTAAAAAAGTTGACCAAAAATATATAAATTATTCAAAATCTAATTTAAAATTGTTTAAACTACATTATTTAACTAAGAAGTCTTCAAACATTAATAAAAGATTTACAAAAATCCTTAAAATACTATCAAATATCTAAATTATCTTAACATATATAAAAATATTAACATATTTAACTAGTTTTAGATATTTTTAAATCCTAATTTGTAGTTTGGTTTGGTTCGGATTGTACTTGAACCTGAAAGTACATAATTCTTAAGTTCCTTTTATAATGGTTTGAATCGGATTTCGGCTTTTTGGTTTGGGTTAAGATCAGGACTTCGGTTTAGGATAAAAACATCCATGCCTAATTTTGAGTCTTTGACATGGGTTTTATGTTCTTTTAAACACCCATGCCTAGTTTTGAGTCTTTGACATGGGTTTTATGTTCTTTTAATCAGGGGAAATGACTGAAACAGATTGGTTTGACATGGAACTCCCAAAGGCAGAGGTTTTGATATTAAATTTTACCTCAGACAACTACGCAATGCCACCCTTCATCTCTAAGATGAGAAGTCTCAGGGCCCTCGTGATTATCAACAACGGTATGTCTTTTGCGCAACTAAAAGACTTCCCCAGTTTTACCAATTTGGCCAAACTGAGGAGTCTATGGCTCGAGATGGTTCACGTCCCTGAACTCTCAAACAATATGGTTCCTCTGAAAAGCCTCTACAAGCTGTCTCTCATCTTCTGCAAGGTCAACGATAGTTTTGATCAGAGAGGATTGGACATGGTCGAAGTCTTCCCAAACCTGTCTGATCTCACAATAGATCACTGTGATGATCTTGTGGAACTACCTTCAACCATATGTGGGATCAACTCTGTCAAATCAATCAGCATAACAAACTGTCCCGGCTTCGTTGAACTGCCAAAGAATCTGAGTAAGCTCAAGTCCCTTGAACTTCTAAGACTATACGCTTGCTCTGAGCTGGAATCTCTGCCTGAAGAAATCTGTGAGCTTCAGAGTCTAAAGTATCTTGACATCTCTCAGTGTATGAGCTTGAGTTCTCTTCCTGAAGAGTTGGGAAAGTTAAGTAAGCTTGAGAAAATCGACATGAGAGAATGCAGCTTATGTAGCATACCGAGCTCTGGGGTTTCATTGACTTCTCTACGTCATGTAATATGCGATGAGGAGAGTTTGTGCATGTGGGAAGAGGTGAAGAAGGTGGTTCCAGGGCTTCTTGTTGAAGCTGCTGACACTTGCCTCAGCATGGATTGACTGACCCAATGTGTGGTTGCTAGATCTTTTTAAAAAGAACATATTGTGTATAAATAATTCATTTGTTTTTGCATTGTATTCCATCAATCATATATCTTCTTTTCACACTGAAACACTGTGCCAATCATGGAAGAATATACATATACTTTTAAGTTAATGTCATGGACTCATTCAGCTAGAGATAATAGGATCTGTGTTCTGTCCACAGAAGGAAACAACAACTATAAGTTCAGCGGCATAAGAACCAAACCATCTTTTATTCTTTAGCCCCAATGGCTTGGTTCCAGACTGAAACATTTCAATACATAAGACTTGATAAATTGCAATAGATACGGTTTCGAAAAGGAGAAAGAGCAGTTTTTTTCAATAGCTGTCGATGTCAGTTTCAGGCCTTCTCAGGAAGTAACGCAGACAGTTCAATAACACCTGCATGATAAGTTTTGGTTCTTTAGCTGTCTCTCTCTCTTTTTTAAGATTCTAAAAGTAGAAAGTAAGATAAACAGGAAACTCACCTGTGACAAGGAACTGTTTAGCGCTTGCCCTTGGTAGCTTACGTGAAACTTGTCTTTCGCAACCAGTCCCTAATTAAATTTAACAAGACAATAATGGACACGTTGTATTAGTATTATAAGAAATCACACTGTATATGGAGGTGTTAAAAGAGTTTTTTTTTAAAGTACTTCAGTGTCTATCTCAGCGGATTCCACGTCTATGTTGATATCAGCCATCACTTTTATCATCTCTACAACCAGACCTGGCCTGTCTGCTGTCTCTATGCAAAGCAGGCTATAGAGAAACACAGGAAACGGCTTGATGGTTATCTAAACTATTTGATCAGACGTCGCTATTTTCAACTGAATATATATACCTCCTCTTTGGTCCATCTTCCTTCACATGTATGTGAGTGGAGATGTCGACATCAACCTGTCACCACATGAATCCCAAAACAGAGCTAAGACATCAGTAAAGTTGGCCTTTAAAACATAGAGGACACAAAAGTATCATATAGTAAACAATTATTACCTTCTTTTCTGGAGCCTTTATTCCAAAAGTCTCACCCATTGCAAGCTGCTCGCTGCATTCCTGCAAAAATGAAACAAAAAAAGGCAATGTTTAAGAACAAAACTCGAAAGCTGGATGCAGGCCGCAGTTTTGATGAATGTGACTGTGACAAGTGGAGCCACACCGGATGATATTTCAAGAGATTGTTGATGATTGTTAACCGAATCTGCTCCAAGGAGTCTGGATCTTCCACTTTCCGACCAGTGTCTCTGGTGCCAAATAATAATATTAATAATAATTGTGTCATCTGAGACAACTGACAATTCAGCTGCACACAACACCAAAATTATAGCATTAATCTTACTGTTTTGTAATAGAAAATCTTGTCTGCTTAACAGATCCTTCAGTTGTGACAGTTCCTTTTATTACATCTAATCCCAAATCTTTCAGCGCCTTCATCTGACAAAACACATCGATAATGATCTTTATAAGCCAAAAAAAAACAAGGCAAGTAAGTTTCCATGATGTTAAAAAGACAGATAGTCAAAATGCTATAGACATAGCTAATAAGGCCTTGTAAATATAAGCAAAAGGGACTCGAGGAGGGTGAGAATGACTCACAGTGTCGATGAGAGCACCGAGACGATCTCCAAAACTGAGTTGTACAATAGTAGCTTCAGGGTCTGCATCCTGGTCTATCAAAACCATTGGCATTGGTACCAAGTCGTCGTCATCATCATCTTCCATTTTCTGCTATCATATGTTAGTTATCTCAAACAAGTTAAATCAATATAGATCCAAGAAACAACAATATTTTAACTGAGATGATAACTGAAACAAGTTACTGACGACCGGATAAGGAGAAGTGGCATCAGTGCTGTTAATGGAAGCATATACGCGGTTTCCTCTTATACTGCGTATTAAAACAAACAAGAATTGATTAACAAATTTCTGATAAAACTAAATCATACAAGCTAATAATAAACACACAGAGAAATCTGAAACTTGTTCACTCAAAGAAACAAAATACGCAAAAAGCTATAGCTAACCTCTTCGTGGATAGAGGCATTACACCTTGGAGGAACTTGCGACTACGATCACTGAAACAAGTACGAGAAGAAGTAAAATGAGTAACAGAGAAGATAGCATTTAAGAGTGCCATTGAAGTTGAAACTGAGATATTCTTGCTTTCTTTTCTTTATCTTCTCCTCACAATTGTCACACTATATAAATCCTATGGATGGAGTGCTGAATCAGCTCATGTATGACGTGATGGTCCACCACCTATTGTACCTTCTACTACTAATCTAAAAGGGTTCTTGTATGTTTCTACGAGTAATTAATTTAAAACTTTGCAAATTGCTATAGACAATAGTATTAGAAATAATGAGACGATTTTATTTGGTTGCTGACGTTTCTTATGTATACGTTTGCTATTAGCCCAATTATCTTCTCTTCTGTATTTTTTAATTTCAATCATTCCAGCTTTCTGGATCTTCATAAAGCATCTGTCATAGCAGTTTCATTTCATTTGCAATATTCTCTAGCAATTATTTGACGTGACGTGAGATTTCTATTAATAGAAACAAAAATTATTCGTTAAACAAAAATGAGACTGGACTCTTACCCATTGGGTCTTAATACCAATTTTATTAAAGCCCTTTGCTAACAATGTTCTAGGCTTCTACTTGTTTCTTCTACGTATATCCAAGTCATTTAAGCCTTATTAGATAGAATTGGATCCTAATTTTGTTGGAAAAAAATTGTACAATCTTCATCTCAAAATCAAAGTTGAACCATGAGTCTTACAAGGCTTGTATAAATTTATATAGAGCGATGACAAGAATGGAAATGAATGTTGTCTGTGTGATTCAGCATCTTCTTTGAAGAGATGGAACATATTATGTCTTCTTGCTATGTAATCTATATAGCCTTCTGTATTTGTCTTTTGTTTGAGGTATGAACTTTTTAGTTACAGGCTTGCATCTATAGCTGGAGGCTTTCCACTTTCATTACTCAACCTCTGAAGTATTTTCTATGACAATAAGATTTTCAAATTGTCTTGAGCTCTCTTGGTTTGAGACTTTGTAACGGTAGGTAGTATACATACTTGTGTGTTTTACAAAAAAAAGCATTACTATAAAATATTTTTATTATTTCGTCATCATCATCATCAGTATCAGAAATATACCCGATCCTATTGCATTCCCTATTGACATTAAAATTAGTAAAAACCCTAACAAAAACCATTTACCAATCACGTTCCCTCTATATTTTTATCACATCCCAAAACCAAAATCCTCTTCAAAATGACCACCAGGAGTCAACTGCTGACCAAACTCTGACATGATCTGTTGCTGAGTCAGAACAGGGGTCTCCTGCTGGCTAGACCTAGACCAGTCCATCTTGTTGGAACCAGGCATGGCTAAATTAGTATCTACCGTAGTTATGTCGTGTATGCTCGATCTTTTCCTCTCTTTCTTAACCGAGTTTTGTCTAAGGAAATATTTCTGAGCATGACTAGCTACTTGCGTGGGTGTCCTCGTCACCACCACGTTCCTCGATATGCTCCTCCAGTCCCCTTTACCATATCTCTTTAATCCGATCAGAAACAATCTGCATGAATTCATATATTCAAATAATATATAGTTAATAACCTAAATTTAGCAAATTCAGGAAATATCATTTAATTTTTTTTTTGATAATTCGTAATTTCCATAACCAAATTCATAACCTAAATTATGATTGATTGATACATACTTGTGTTCATTTTCCGACCAAGGAGTTCCTCTTTTCCGCTCACCCTCCCCCTGTTTGGTCCCAAACGAGATCTGACCAGCCGAGTCCCAACCCGCCGCCGAGTCATCTATGTAATCAGGGACATCAACTTGGCCAGAATCGATCTGGAAGACATCATGCACCAAAGCCTCGTAATGGTCTCTAACTTCACCAACCGGTTTCTGGAGCTGGTCGGCAATTCTCTCCCACCGATTGGGAGATCCCTCAGGGAAAAATACCAAAGCTTCCTCAAACATTTTATCATCCGACCTCGTCCACTGACTTGACGCCATATCCAAAGATTTATTTTTTTAGTAGTTTTAGAAAGAAAGACTCAAAAGTGGATAAACCCAAATAAGAAATTCTGAAAATTGGTTGGAGGTTGGAGAAACTGTTGAAGACTCTTCAGATTATTTATAAGGATTCTCTTGTTTTTTCTTAGGAAAGTTTTTTTTATTAGTATTCAGGAGTTTATAAAAGAGAATAGTTTGCTGGAAAATATAAAAAAGAGCGACGAAGCAGCTCAGAGACCAACTTCAACACGGTTTCTCTGCAATTGAATATCTCTCTTTCTATTATTCTCTGTTTTTCATTTCTTTTTAATTTAATTTTTAAGGTGACATTGCTACGGTTTGTTACAGTTTCTCTAATATCACAAAACGTAGCTATTAAAAACAACCGCCTAATAAAAGTAAGGGCACTCCATTGACGATTCATGGGGTGTTGCACATATAAACCAAGAAAAAAAAATATAATAAAATTGATAAATCTGGCTCGCTGAAGCTCCCCATGATGAATCTGTATCATTACCGTTCTGCAGGTTTCACGACACGTGGCGATCCACAATTAATTAATTTTTTTTTTTTTAAATTAGAAAAAAAAAGGTTGTGAACTCCCATTCTTAGATTCACTTATGGGGGTGTTCTAAGAAAAACAATCTGGAAAGACTCATTTTCGTGTTCACACACGTTCGAGAAGGAATCAAATCTAGTGTGTACTTCTCTTTACCTTGTACCCTTGTCTGAGTTGTCTGTCCGTCTGTTGCTATCTTTTTTTGCTTTTATTTGGGGTCCAAACTCGAACGTGTGTGCTGTGCTGCTTTCACTTCACTTTCTTAACCGTATGGTTATATATCTGTCATATTTTGGTTTTATTTAATTAAGTTTTAATCATACTCAAATCTTACTTTATTTTCTATAATCACAAGAGATCGTTCTATTTCTTAACCGTATTGTATTTTCTTTTTTCAATTCTAACTATTAATTTTGGGGTTTAGAGCTGGGTACAAATACCCGTTACCTGCCTTAAACTTGTTACGCACCTTGTATTTGTCCGTTAAACACAAATGCTTGTTATAATCAAGACAAGTAACAAATTAGCAAATTTGATTACTTGCAAATCCAAACCAAGTAACAAATCTTAAATTTATTGTAGCTACTTGATTCGTTTTGACCCGTTACTTGATTTTCAAAATAATTTATAACATTTACATTGTTATTTCAGTTAGTTTAATACTTATATAATATATCAAACATATAGAATCAAATAATTCTTTCTTTTCTTTCGTTAAATTCTACGTTATATTATCTCACATTCTTTGTAATCTAAAAATCAAGCAAATTTTCTTGCTATAAATAAAAATAATCACCTAATTTTAAAATTATTGAAATGAAATTTTATTAAAAGAGTTCAAATACAAAAAAAAATTACTTTAGATTAGCAAATACAAGTACATCAAGTAACTTGCAAGTATCTCATATATGAATGAGTACTTACTTAATCAAGTACTTGATATTAGCAAGTAAAAGTACAAGGCAATTTTTTTAATACTCGAACGAGGCAAGTCAAGTTACAAGTATAACAAAAACTCCGAGTACTTGTCCCGTGCATATTAGTTTTATCCAACTTTTTTTTTATTTCTATTGTTTTTAATTGGTGTATGAAGCATGTGAACATACAGATAGTTTTACCAAATTTTATGTCTTATCCCATGAAACCAAATATGTTCTTATGCATCGTCACCTAAAATGTTGACTATGTTCTCTATGGCTAAACTAAATTTTGGTTGTAACTCAACCTGTTGCAGTATAAGGCTTAGGGTGCTGATGTGGTTCGTATATTAGCTAAATGTTTCGTATTTAGTGGGAGCTTGCATAAGTTTTTTGAGGAGGCTTATATATTATTAATTGAAAGGTTTTGCAAAAATCTTTGGAAATGTGGGATTTACATGTGATTCCCCTCAACTGTCCAGATGTAGAGCATGGGCCAATAGACCCCCGCGAGCTTGAAGACGCCTTCATCTAACACTTGCATGACCATGATTAAAACTTAGACACTCTTCGCGGATCCGCATCACTTATCAAAATTCTATCTACTTGCGTTTTTTGAATCTCTGTAAAGCTAACCTCGGGAATGAAGCGTCATCATAGTGTTATGAAGTTGTTGCCGCAGCTGCAGCGAGCATGAGTAGCATATCATATGTTGCCACCACAACGTCAAAATCCTCAGCAATCAATAGGTCATCGAGTAATGCCCCTAAAGTATCTACAATATATAATTATCTTGTTGTGATGCCATCTTTTAAAATTGAAACCTATCTCAAGATGAAGCAAGTTAGTTTTTAGAGAAATCCAAAACGAAAAGTTATGATTTAATTGCTCGGATGAGCAAAAACCAACACCTAGTTAAAAAAAGTTTTAATTCTACACCAAAAGCAGATCAAAAATTTAGATTGATTACGTCGTTTACTAACCTGTGACATTGGATGGGTATTCAACCATGCGTCCACAACCAAGTGCCCCACCGGACAAATGAACTTTTCCATTGAGAAATACTTAAATAATCCATCAAACAGTTTAACTATTCTGATGGGGGTGAGTGATATAAGAGAACCAAAGAGGAAGAAGTTTTCATACTGATGCATGCTGATATCAAGTAGATGGCGCGACACCAGCAGACGCTATAGTCCATTCCCAATGTAAATAAATATATACCAACTCCATATAGTTTGGCCAGACTCTGTCAATTATTAAAAATAACAAATATTTAATCCCTCAATCAAACCTTGAAAACATGAATAAATAACTTATTAACAATATGCTGAGATGGTTTCTAAACGACAATAGAAGTTGAAATTCCTTTTTTCGTTGGGGCTTCAAAAAGTCTTGCACAGAATTTATGCATGTCCAAAGCTTTTCTCTGAAATGCATAATAGTTGCCCATGGCTATTCCATATCCCATAAAACCTATAAAGATGATAGATACACATAATAAGCTAAAATTAAAACCCTTTCAAAATTTTGGTGTCAAGTAACAGTCATAAACAATTGCATGATCCACCCAACGATAGGGTAAAGGATGGCCTCAACCATCAAAATTCTGATACACCAAACGTAATTTTTACAGATTCATTAAAAAATCAACGATTAAATCAAGAACCTTTTCTTAAAGAAAATGCAGTAACATGATTAAACTTGTGAGACATGAATTTGGGATCGAAGACTCTAAACAAAAAAGAAAGGAGAAACAAAATCAAGAAACTGAAACACATAAGAGGAAGTTTTCATACCTTATACAATGCATGCCGCAGCAGCAAAATTTTTGAGTTCATCTTGGTCAACAATCTACAACACATAATCAAAACAGATATATCTCAGTTAAGAATGTTTTGGGAATCCTAAAATCACGATACCAAATATTTGTTTCATTTCTATGTTCCATCCTTTATAACAACTGATCTTCATGTAGATTATGTAATCAGTTTAATTCAATAATATCAAGTGTTATTAAAAAAACAAAACGAGAGGTGTATATGTATTTCAAGTGTTTAATTTACAGTTGATGAAGGAATCTACAGTAGTTGTTTCCCTATTGTTTACTAGTGTTTTTTTTTGTTTTTTTTTTTGTTTTTGTTTACTAGTGTTTTTGTAAATGCTTAAGACGAGAAGAAGAAGCAACTATAGCTAAGCTTCGTTTAGCCAAGTGTAATAAGAGGAAACATCTAAGCTTTTTATGTGATGCTAAACGTGTTGAATTTCACTACTGGGAAATAAATGTAAGATTAACTCTTATGATTTCAATTATGAAATCTACCCAAGACTAAATCTAGATTTATCTTAATTCAACCCTAATAATTTTTTAAGAAAAGAAGAAACACTAACCTTGATCTCATGCTCTCTTTGGTTTATTTTGATCAATCTTCAATTTGATTTTCTCTTCCCTTAGGCCTTTCAAGTCTTTATGATTCTGTCTGATGGATAAGAGAATCCGAATCCTTCCTTCCTTTGCTTGTAATGATCACCATGCGTCTTTCCTTTGATCACCACCATATGTCACTTTGATTTACGTTTGTTTTGTATTCATTGTGACAAAAGGAAGAGACTCCTTTTGTTATCATATAGGAACATACAACCACTACATGAATATATTGCATCCTTTCATATATATACTAGATTTTGACCCGCGCTTGAGAAGCGCGGGTTTTGTTTCGGTTGTAACAAAATGTATAAAATGATCCGATTTCTATTATATGATAGTTTTATATGCGAAATTTGATGTATATTTAACATTTTAGTAGGGTCTTTTCATTTAGTTTGCATAACCGAGTCAGTTTGTGGTTGAACAGAGAATCAGAAAATTAAGTGTTGTGAGAGTTTGAAGAATTAAAACACATATTAGATTGAAACCAAAATTGGATGGGTCCATGACCTATAATAAACTTGAAAAATCAATACTATTAAAAATACCCAAAATTGTATTACAAATTTGTAGTTAAATCTAATAAATATGTTAATTGAATTATATAGTTTATTTATGTTTCGGCAATTTTGTTTTGACCCGCGCTTGAGAAATTTATAATAGGTAGGGAGACTAACTTTATACTATTAACCATAAAAATTTTTTTATGGTTTCCACGAGACTGAACTCCAACTTATTCTTTTGTTTCCCACCACTACACCCTATGGTTTCCAGATCACCCAAGTCTTGAACTTGTCCAATAATATATAGATAAAAATATACTCGTGTTAGATATATACACAACAATGGAGATAAGTTATAAAAATGAGAGAAAACTAACCAATAAGAAAATTATTAACATTTATGATTCAAAATAATATAGTTTTAAAAATAAAAGAATTGTTTCATAAATATAGGGAAGAATATTATCATTTAGGTTTTCACCCACGCTTAGAAAACATTAGCATTTAGGTTACACTTTTACAAAATGAAGATATCTAAATTATAAATATATACAAAACGATAAACTTACATTTGCATCACAAAGGATTAGTTC